CATATTTAGCATTTCTTTATATTCGCATTTCTATGAACCTCTTTTGACAATACTTGTGCAGTGGAGACGAAAATTTCGATTCGGAGTGGGTGGTAATAAGTGGTAATTACCTAACCTACATTTTGCATGTAGGTCTAATCTATGCAGATTAAGTGATTGATTAAAGCTCGTTAGAAGGCTGACATCACCGCCTCCGAATGAGACTTGGTATCCACCCAAATCAATTTTTATTTACTTCATAATTAAAAAGGAAAGGACAATTTCAAGATTTTCTAATTAAACGGTCTTTGATACCTACAATGACATTACAAAAGATAAGAAGCAAGATAAAATTGTTCAAGAATGCATAACAGGAGAAATAACCGTTCCCAAGTGTTTTTCTTTTTTTTTGTAAAAGACAACGCCCGGGTTAGGAATATATCCTGTGTCGCGGGGGACCTCACAAACATACATGAAACGGACACAAAGAATACCCAGACACAGAACAACTATTTGTGGATCACATAAAGTGTCGTCCCATGTGGGGTTTGAACCCACAACACTCGGCGTTGTAGGAAGCGGCGTGGCGACCGCTTAAACCACTATGCCATCCGTCTTTATATTTTCTGTGAAATAGTACATTGGTTGTTTACATAGCTGCATCCTTTATTTCCAAATACAAATTAACAATTTTTTTCTTAATAACTCAAACATTCATTCTTTATTTTTTCCTACATGATTTCTTTTGATTACCGCACTAGGTCCTTTCCGTGTTGCGGGACTTCGATATAAATTTATCTTTCAATGTAGGGGAAAATTCCTACGCACGGTTTTATACGTTTTTGACACTAATTGGATTCAGGCTAATTGAGAATCCGTAGAATTGGGAATCTGAAGAAATCAGAATCCAAAGGATACTAATCTGAAGAAGTGCGATACTCAAAGAGTTGTTGATAATTCCATATGTGATTAGTGTCAACATCATTGTTTCTAAAGACTTCTTGTAACGCGGATCCTTTAAATTATTATTGTCATGCCCCAAGGGAGCTTGATAGATCCTATACTCTTTTACATTCATCATTTAGGTATACTCACTCTTCTTATAGGCAAAGAGGTAATGTTTGCTGCTCCATTGGTTAATAACATTACGTAAAGTGTCACACGAGCAAACACAATAATGATTCAACAGTCTAAGCGGCTAAGAAAGGGCTCACTGAATAACAATACTCAACACTCTCAAATAGCTTTACCCGGTAAAAAGTAACAAAAGAATCGCTCACTGAACACCAGTTTTCTATGACGCCTTGGTATCATTACCCCGGTGGAGCCGGCCTATATGCGCGCATGGCTCTCCTCCGATGTACTTCAGACTCTTGACTAAGCACAAAAAATGTATCATCTTTTAAACCTAGTCACTTTCTCGTGGCATTACGGTACCTTTTTCTTCTGTGCGGATCTCCCCTCGGCTATCAACCACCAGTTGGTGATTGTGGCGGACTCGAAACGACCAAAAACCGCACGCCGTCTCCAGGTACCAGTAGCCGGGGAACCAGGTATACCCTAGTAAGGAAAGCCCTGGTACCCCGAGGCCATCTACGGCTTGTAGACGACTCCTCCTGTGTAGGACCCCGGATGTTCCTTTCCTGCTTCCGAAGGGCTCGCGCGGCTTTAAATAGGTAACAATTATGGACCCTGTCGGGCACAGCACTGTTAGGACAGAGGACGACTATCAGTTTATATTGTTTATTTGTTGTTAACTGTTATTAGAAGTTTAATACGAGTATTACTGGAAAAGTTTGTCAGATGAGAGAGATATTACTTATACGGATAGATTGACGATTGTAAAGGTTAGGAGGAACGTCCAAGGTTTATTTTAAAAAACAAATTCTTCTTTAAAAAAAAATCAACTCCTTCACTAGAAATATATCATGTGTCACGGGGGACTTTACAACACATGAAGCACACAAAAACACCTAGACTCAGAACATCAGGTGTGATACCATGTGGGGATCGAACCCCACAACACAGCGCAGTAGGAAGCGGCGAGGTGACCGCGTAAACCACTACACATTATTATTATTGTAGATTCTGGTTTTTCTGTCTATTGTGATGATGAAGAGATACAAAAAAACTAAAATAGGTATTTATTGATAAAGTCAGACATTAGAATATAAACTTTGATTTTAAACAAAATTATTAGTTATGAAATATTACAAAAGTTATAACAATTAGATTTCACGAACCCAGGGATTGTAGGTTCCATTCCCACCAAATGACGAGAGGAGCTCAATCATTTGTTCAGTATTCTATAATTTATGAACAGTCTAGTTACCATAATACAGGCTCTGCGTAGTCTGCTATCACACGACCGTGTGTAAGATATTTTAACTGACTTTAAATAAGGACAAAAATGGCGTGCATGATAGCTCTGGTGTATTTACAATTTATATAGTAGTAAACTCACATGTTTTAATAATCCTTCTGACTTATAAACTAAATGCTTTTATAGAGAAGTTCTCCAACGATACGACCTCTTGTAGCTTGACGCTGTGGTCATAATCTCACAAAATAAATATAGTAATGGTATACAAGGTTTGTACACTCCATTAGCGTAAAAATAATGACGCATCGTTCAAGCCTTGACCAATAAGCTCCATCTTTCATACGAAACAATAATTTCTCGGAACCTGATTGGTCAAGGGGCGGGGCTTGAACGATGCGTCACTATTTTCTTAACGCGAATGGACTATAATCTACTAATAGAGACGACCTACATGTACCAAAGCCCTACAAATTAATAACGAGTCTTTTAACATTCATTTACGATTCAATTGTGCTTGCACAAAATTCCTTTCTATTGCTCTCTTGTTAAGTAGAACAAATAATATATTTTGTTGCTCTTGTAGTTCAGTTTACAGTTTAAGAATATTTTTATGGTAATAGGCAATGAGCGGACGGGTTTTTTGATGGTAAGTGACTACCTACTTGCAACTCGAGAGACATGAGTGTATTACCCTCAGCCCTTTTGAGTGTCCCCAGTGTTAATGAGGGGTTCGGGGCTACGGTAACCGGTTAACACCGGTTTTCTGTGATGTCATGTTCTTACTCCGGTTTTTTATACTATGGATATTTTCTCACTAGACCTTTATATTTAAACATTTTATGCAGGAAACTATTGAGTGTGTTTATATCAGTAAGTTAATACATTTGTACATAAATACTATCTTTTCTTACTATTGGTCCTCTGAGCCTTTGGGTCGGCTTTAAGTCTACTAATACCGCTGAACTTCGACTTTTACGTGGAAGGACTGCCATCAGACCTCCACAACTCAAGTACTAGGCGATATCGAAGTTCTGTAGATAACCTGTTGTCCGACTTCTTAGGGCCTTCCTTTCTAGGGTATACCTGGTTCCCCGGCTATTAGTACCCGAGATGGTGTGCGGTTTTAGTCGGTTCGAGTCCGACATGCCACCGGTGGTATCCGAGGGGATTTCAGCACGGAAAAAAAAATAAAATAAATAAATAAGGGCTCCAACTGTAGCGATTGCCTCAGAAGTTCAGTACCGACGACTTAACATGCTCTTCCGAGGCACGGAGTGTGTGTTAAGAAATGATAACCCTTCCATAGACTGACCTGACTAGGATTGCTTAACCTTACAATGTGTTAACTTATACGGTTACAACTTAGCCACGAGCCCCTTAGAACAACCCCTTTTCTTACTATTAGTATGTTTAACAAATTATCCACCTACGCTTGTTAATACAAAATAATTGAATCCTTATATATATATTGTTATTCATGTCAACTCTTAAGGCAACGATTTTACATAGAACCTTTCGTAAGGCAGGCATACACAAACAAACAAACATTGGTTTCAACAGATCATCATTGTATAGAAAATATAGCACTAGCTTCGCGTTGAAGCATTTACAAAAACTGTATTCAACACAAAAAGTCAAAAAATAAACTTGGGTAACTTTGCTCACTCATCGACAGATGTTAAAAATAACTTGAATATTTTTTTAAGTACTACAGTTACAGAATTTTTAATAATTTTAAATCTCTACTTCGAATTAGCACAGATTGATGAAAAATACAACAGATGGCTTATTAAAAAAAAATACATTTAAATAAATATCAAAACTGGCAACTAAATAATCATTATTCTTAACCGCTACTAACACGCAACTATGTACTATAGTCCATTCGCGAGGTTTGATCAATGCGTCACTATTTTCTTAACACGAATGGACTATAGTTTTATTTAACTAATAACCTCTCGCGCAGCCTAATATATACCTTAATGATAAGCAAGAGAGCTTTTCACAGTGACTGCCATTGATCGGTATTCAACCATTTAAAGTACATGAGAAAAGACTACACAAGGTGAGCACTTATCAGCGATATTTCTTATAACAGCAGATTTGTGGTAGACTAGCTAATAGACCAAGCTTTATTCTAAGGAACCTGCAGATGTGCCTGTATATAAAACACAGAGCAATGGTAATAATGTCGTCTGATGTTAATAAATAATAAGTAAACATTACATTTCTTTGTTTTGTAAGTAACTTGGATTAAAAAATCCGATATATACAGCACAGTTAAAAAACTATCCCATTACGACTTATTAGCTAAGAAATGTACGGATTGCAACACTGATTTTAACGCAACTTTCACATTAAATATGGTCGATTAGAATAGAAGACTAAGACAAATATACGTGTATGCAATAGTATGTTAAATTAATAGCTTTAGTACATGCGATATAATTCTTTGCTCTAACGAACGAATCGCACTTTAGAGAAATACTCGTTCAAGGATAAAAAGCAAGTATTTTTCTCTTTACAGTCGGAATAATATTAATGGCAGTTAGCACTGGTTTTAAACACATAATGAACAATCAAGTCAATTTATTTCGATGTACAAAGTTACCCGAGTTCACAATCACAGTGAGACCTACGCAGCACAATTATTAAACGTCCGCTGCACAAGATAAGTCCTCCAAGCACTTATTAGTAATCAAACACCTAGTCTATTGAACACATTTTTAGTTATAGTTAAATTAGTAGCATTACTCTTTGTACCTAATCTCGCTCTGACATTGTTAACACCTTCAGGCATAGTTAACCTCCTTTCCGGCTTATTGAAGACGGGAGAGAATTTCTGAACGGGCCGCGGAATTGATTTCTGAACGACTTTCGCCTGTGTTTTGACAGTTGAACTCTGCATCGATTCAATCTCTTTGTACTGAACATGATTTGAGAACTTAACAGACTTAGATTTTGGTAATGCTAGTTTCGTTTTCACGCTGACAGGGGTTTCATCAGCTCTCATGGTACACAATCCCATAGCTATTGTTCTTGTGTTATTCTTTGACGTGGTGACTGTGACCACTTTCTTCAAGGGCGGAGAGCCTTTGAGAATGCCTTCATATTTGAGAGCGTCCTTTTCGATTGGCATTATTTGGTCTGGTTGGTCTTGTGGCTGTTTAGAGCCGAGACGTGCGTATATTGGTTTACACCCAGTTGTGACAGCGGCTTTGGTGGATACTTTCGCTGGTTCAGAGTTGCCAAGTCGTGCGAATACTGTTTTTGACGTACCTGGAACGCAAATCAAGATTATATGAAAATGCAGCCACAAAAGTCATAATGATAATTAATCGAAATTAATTAGCTTAATCCAGTGAGGCCCGTAGAGACTAGTGACGTGCTGCAGATATCCATAACTGTTTGGTGGATCTTCTATATATTAATCATCATCACATCAATAGCCTTTGATATTCCACTGCTGGACATAGTCCTCTCCTTAGAAAGGAGGTTTTGGCCTACTGTACCACGCTGGCCAGACGGGTTGGTATAGGGTTTGTGTCAAGTTTTCCTTCTCTTTGCAGTTTGCAGAGCTGTTGTTCTGCGTAGTTTGCTCCCATAGTCAGCTATTACTACTATTGCCGCCCATGAACGGCTGCAACTCAGGAGTCACAAACGCGTTGCCGGAATTTTAGGAAGGAGTACGCTCTTTTCTTGAAGGTTTGAAGGTCGTATCGGTCCGGAAATACCGCAGACTATAACCCGTTCCACAGATTGGTTGTGCGGGGCAAAAAGTGTCTCGAAAAGCGCACAGTAGTGGAGCGCCAACTATCCAGGTAATGAGGACGAAAATTTTGCCGTGTGGAACGATGGTGGCAATTTGCGACTGGTATTAGTCCGAACAATTCCTCGGAGCACTTTCCATGATATATGCGATAGAGAACGCAGAGTGAAGCCACATCTCTACGTAACGCCAAGGGATCGAGCCGATCAGAGATGTTTGGGCTATCAACGATTCTAGCCGCTCTGCGTTGGATGCGGTCCAGAGGGAGAAGCTGGTACTGAGGTGCCCCTGCATAGAGATGAGAACAGTATTCCATATGCGGCCGGACTTGCGCCTTATATACCTTATATTTTGATTTGCCATGATATGTAAGTGTCTATCTAATGACGGTTCAAGTTATACTGGTCATTAGTATAACAATATTGAAAACGTCCAAAATTCGACCGACGCGCTCGATTTCTAGTTATGCTTTATTACGTATATGAAATATTAAAATAATGTACATATACCCAAATCTCAGAATACTCAAATTTTACTAGCGATTGCTAGATATGGTTTACATTATAATATTTTCTACGCCCTGCTTATGTTCTAATAAATTTGGATTCGTACAAACCATTAATGTAGCAAACAAGGTATTACCTTCCTTAACGGACGGCGGCGGTGCTCCGGCAAAACGTATCATTCGCGCCTTTTTTAGACTCGCATCGGCTTCGGGTCTGTAGAACAAACAGAGTAAGTAGAGTAATACAATAATATACATAACATTGACTGTCTCGGTGGTGCAGTGGTAGCGTATGCGACTGCTGTCCTGATGTCTCGGGTTCGATTCCCGGGTTGAAATGTTTTTATGATCTGCAATTATTTGTTTCGGAGTTTCTATGTATAATATGTATGTTGTACAAGCTCTGCTTAGTTTGAAATTCGGTGGCGTTTTGTGTCAGATGTCGTAAATATTATATTATATTAACATACTAAAGTTTACGAGCCAAAACTATTTGCTTTTGTTGGTTTATTTTATAATCAGCAGATGCCAAAGTTTGCCAAATATTATCTTTTTAAGGCAAGAAAAATGGGCTATTTAAGATTAAGAATTAATTTCAGGAGTGATAACACGGCTTCACAGATAACCGGCGATATCCAATTGGACCAACCTCCCCTCTCCACTTACCATCAGCTGAACCGTCCGCTCGTTTGCTATATTAGATAAAAAAGAACAATATACACAAGGTGAAAACCTTTCATTAATCGTGAATAATATAATAATATAATATTCTACCACATTCACACAACGCCATCTAGTCCCAAACTAAGCAGAGCTTTTACTATGGGTACTAGACAACTGATATCAATACATATATACTTTTTTTTTGTTGTAAATACATACATATTATACATAGAAACACCCAGACCAAATCAAACATTAAATGTTCATGTACAGAAATGTTTGACTTGAGCGGGAATCGAAATCGCGACCTTTGGAATAGAAGTCCGTTACACAAACAACTTTGTTTTGCTTAACCAACCCAAGCCTTTGGCCAACCACTCTTAAAATAAAAAATATGTATGTAAAAAGGTTACGTACGTCGACTCTATAGATTTCCTCTTCAGTTGTGACGATGTGTTTGTCTTTGGCACCTCTGGCACCTGAGGATTGCGCGTGTAATGTTCTAGTATGCGACTGGCTGCTGTAAAATTAAATAAGTTTCTTTTTTTTTACGACAGTAATAGACAATTTTTTTTTTGGTGAAAGTGGATATGTAGTTAGTAATTGTTGCTGCTGTCGCTTAATTCAAAAACATATTAATTTTGTTCTAGCTTTGTGACGAAAACGAATCTTAGCAGAGATGATTGCTAACAAAATAATTACTCTGTCGACATATTTTTCAATTAAATTTATAATTAAAATAATACTCAATGAAATAAGTTCGGTTAAAAATACTTCAATTAATGGTTTTTGTATGTAAGACTTGTTTAAATTTTTTTTCGTTCGATGGGCTTTAATACAAATTTATCATTTCAAAATTTATTATAAAACAGTGAGTCGTTCTCAAGAGCGACTCTTGAGAACGACTCACTGTTTTATACAGCAACGTTGTTGCTTAGGAGTAAAAAAATTAGTCTATTTCCACGGAACAAATACAAAGAGAGCAACTGTGCACTGTGCTTCTAAGTAGGTCCTGACGTCATCACAGTGGGCGTGGCTTAAAATTAGTACACTCAACCTCCGTATTGTGCGCTTGTGTCGCAAATCTAAAGTATTACTAAGAAAAGGATGAAATTTTGAATTTTATCGTCTTGTAATAATTTGGATAGCCGTTTTGTTGCTATCTATGTCTATCTATGCTATGCATCGCATTTCATTTGTAAGTAATTTTATACTTAATTTATTTAAATAGTTCTGGAAAAACCTCTTATTGTTTCATGAAATATAGTTACTTTTATTCGACAACTTTGTGTAATTTAAACTAAAAATGCAAAGGTACGTACAGCATAATTTTAGTCAGATAATACTGAAATTTTGTTCTGCATTCAGTCCTAAAAAATTATAAATCGCCAAAACAATATACTTAAATTTTTAGTAATCATTTTGTGAACAGACTATCATCTATCAACTAGAATAACATACATACTCAGAAGAAAAAAAACAGGAAACCGAAATGGAAATCCAATGTTTATCCAATAAAGTACTTTTAATATGAAAATGAAGGAAATTGTAAAAGTTGTTGTTGTGTTAAATTATAAGTGACATTTAATCGCAAAGAAAAATTTAATAAAAAAATTCACATGGGTTGACAAGAAATGTTCATTTATGAGTTATACCTCATAAAATAAAGTCTCCTTGAAAGTAAATAGTCTATGTATAATATTCAAAGTATTATTCTACCGCAAGACATCTATTATTAGTGTGAGATAGCTAAACTAAATAGCCTCATTGACAGAACTATGCGAGTAGTTTTGCTATTATTTGGTAAATGAAAAAAAGTGAAGTGGGCGGTTAACCCACCCTCACTCCGCAAATTGTCACGCGTTTTGTCATAGAAAAATTTAATTACAACACCTCCTCTTTGTATTTGGTCCGTGTCTACCTCAGTTACGGAAACTTCTCCATAGTAAATCACGTCACTTTACTGAATTTCACATTCTCTCAGTGATTCTGTACCCTTAGTTTAAGCTTTTATAGTTCAGCTAAAATATCATGACCTCCGTGTACTTGTACCGACATTGCCCCACGCAAAAAAAAAAAACTGAGCCTATTGGAAGCCTTAAGGAAAACGAATAAACTTTACAGTAGACGTAGTCGCGTTCGGCGTCGCGATTTATGAAAAGTTCGCAATCCACCATGACTATCAAGTAGATGTGAAATAAACTCACACAAGGCCCTCTGACATCGAGCACGGCGCGCTTTTATTCGTTAAATAAAATAGCGTGTCTGTCCCACGTCCCACTTCCGTCTTTTTCATCACAAATGTAAACTATAAAATCTCATACTATGGGTAATGTATAAGTTAGATATTATTATTATTAAGCCTTTATTGCCAACATAGTTACACGTATTCGTTATTAAATAGTTAAGTGTTAACATGCAATTAAATTAATTAACATTATAATTATCATCATCATCATCAACAGCCTTTAATAGTCCACTGCTGGACATAGGCTCCCCTTAGAAAGGAGGTTTTGGCCTACTATACCACTCTGGCCAGACGGGTTGGTATAGGGTTTGTTTCAAGTTTTCCTTCTCTCTGCAGTGTTGTTGTCCTGCGTAGTTTCCTCCCTTAGTCGCCTCTTACGACACCCACGGGATGAATAGGGGTGGTGACACTCTGTATTCTTAATCCGTCACCACACGGACAATTATATCAATACAATATTATTATTGTAATTAAGTTAGATATACCAGTTAACAAATACTAACGTGATGAGGGTTGTGCGATCGTTGCACGTCCAGTGATAGCCGCAACCGGCACTTTAGCAGTCGCGGTGCTTGTCGTGCTCAGCACACGGTCACGCGCCGTGCTCTCGTGCACTTTTTTCGCGTGCCTGCACAAGTGCACACTATACATTAGATAATCAGGTATCGACAAAAAATGGCGATATTAGCATAATAATAATAACCTCACACATCTCACACACGGCGATCCCAAACTAGGCAGAGCCTGTACTATAGTAACCAGACTGCTGATAAACATACTTATATATTTCTAAATATATAACTGCATGTTATACCTACTGCAACGTCGCACTACGCAAATAATACCTTACGATTTTATACTTTTGTTTTCAATTTCAATTAATTCAAAAGACAATGGACTTAGTAAAAATGTCTGACAGGCTTTCGTTTCTCATTTTTGCAGAACATTAAAAACTCATTTTTTTTTACAAAAGTTTATTACTAAAATTATCGACTAAAACTTACATTTCCCGATTTTCTGAACTATCTTCCTATTGTGTTTTTTTTTCACTATTAATATATTGAGTGTATTTTGTTCATTATTAATGTAAGTACATGTACAAAGTAAAATAGCAATTTTGTTTAAACTACTCGCAGAGATATTCAATTTTATTTACACAGATGTGTTTCTATTATGAAATAATTCTAACATGTGTAAATATTAAAATACAAATAGCGTCGTACGACAATAACGTATTCTTAGCGCAGTGGTACATAAAAATTACTTCAAACATCATTGCGCCTAAATCATTATAAATTAGAAGTAATCCTTCATCCATTTATTTTACACAATTAGAGTTTAATTTTGTCTTCAAATATAGATATGTCTCCTCCTCCAGACTTCTTTTCCAAACTAGGTTAGAGTCGGCTTTCAGTCTAATATGACACGACTAAACTTTACGTGGACGATTTTTTACGTACAGCAACTGCCATCAGACCGCAGACCACAAACAAAGTAGTACCTACACTAGGCGATTTGGAATCAATCAATCAATCAGTTTATTTTCATTGCGAACATGGCTTTACAATTAGGTGTTACAGTTTTAATATTTTTTTCTGCCACATCCTACCTTTAGGCATGCAATAAGATAACATTAATAACGAGTTTGGGCTTATTTAATACATCATACGAGGTCAGAATTCTATTTTATGTCAATATCAATTAAAATAACAATTACAATTATATTATTAAAAAAGAAAAAATGTCATAATCGTAATAAATAATGTATCACATTTATTAAAAAACTGTATTAATAGAGGGTATATAGTAGTTATTAAAAACATACATTCTATTATATTTTCTCCGTTAAAAACTCAGTTACAGAATAGTATGCTTACATTTCTAAAAATTCTTTTAACTTGCTCTTGAATGCACTTATGCTCAAGTTTTTCCATTGTTGCGGTAAATGGTTATAAATTACTGGAGCCATACAGAAAACACATCTACGCATAAGCACAGTTTTTGCTTGGAGTAGGCGCAGTCTACTATTATCACGCCTGTTCCGTGTAACCGTATCCTCAAGCCGCGAAGTTCTATAAATAGGCTGTTGTCGGACTTTTTAAGACGCCCAACCACAAGTAACAATTGCCTCAGGGGACCGACAGCTTAACGTGCTCTCCGAGACAGGGAGGGAACTCAGTATATTAAAAATGGTCACCCATCCATAGACAGACCTAGGTAAGATTGCTTAACTTACCACTTATGTTACCACTAAGCCACAAGCCCCTTTTTTGTTTTCAAATATATGTCGTTAAGTAGGACCAACCTTACATACAACTATTTTTTTAATTAAAATCGATTGACAAATTGCACAGGTAGTTGTGTATGTAACAATACGAAAAAAAGTGTTAATAAGTTATTTTAAATAAGTATATGAGAAACACATATTACAAAAACCACTACCAATCACAGACGAATTTTGTGCAAGAATTTTACTGGTAAGATCATAATTATAAAGCAGTCTTTGCTGTATTATTTTTTGCAATTAAAAATTATTACACATTACTTTGTTTTAATAAAAATAATTACTAATTGACATACTTTTATTTATAAAAATCACTGAGGTTTGATAGTAATCCGTTTTAAACCATGAAAGCAGTTAAAAAAATTGTATTATTATCTGTTACTTCCACAATTCAATACGTTCTTGAACTGCCAAGCCAAGCCAAGGAAACGCAACCGTTGTTACATAATGTTCTCTGATGTGTATTTTTTTTATGGGTTCAGTCAATATTACCAGAAAATAAGTGTTAAGCAATTTTTCCAATGATATTCCCTGAGTGATTTAGGCACACTTTTCAGGACAACAGCACTGCAAAAAGGATGAAAACTTAAAACAAACCCTATTCCAACCCATCTGGCCAGCATGGTATAGTAGGTCAAAACCTCCTTTCTAAGGAGGGCCTTTGGTTAGTAGTGGACTATTAAAGGCTGTTGATGATGATGATGATGAGTGAGGTTATTAGAGCTCAACCCCCATTTCCCTCCTCCCACTCCCAATTCTGGGGCAAACTCAAATGGTAGCAATACAATGGTGTCTCTTAAGTAGTAGGTGTCTATGGGTGGTGATCACCACTTACAATCAGTTGACTCATCTGTTTGTTTGTCCTCTATACTATAAAAATCTGTCTGTTACCTCTTCACACTGGCCCGATTTAGATATAATTTCATATGGAGATAGTTTTAGGGAAAAGACATAAAATAGTTTTTATTACAGAAATCATCCTTTAAGGGGGTGAAAAGAGGAGTAGAAGTTTGTATATGAAATCAATAACTGCTTATTAAGATGAAATTTAGCATGGAGATAGTTTGATTCTGGAGGAAGGACATGGGCTATATTTTATCATAATAACCAACATACACACGGAGGGAACCACGGGCAAAAGCATGTGAGAACATATGTACAGCCATAACTTTAAGTCTGACTTTTCAATCATTTTTAGGTTTACTTTATTGTATAAATGTAGAGGCTATAACCATGTGCAATTAGAAAGTTGTTTTATTTAGTTTAGAACATGACCATTAAAAAATTCTGTTAATTAACCAATTACGTAGCAATTGGTGATATTTAATTTTTTCTTTGTTAACTTTTTTGGTAGAATTGTTATAATATTAGTTCTAATAAACTACTAAGCCATAATTTATAACAGCCATGTCAGGATCAGGAGACATATTTATAATTTTATGAAAATATTGTATGCAATGTACTACAACTACACTATACTGACCTACCAATAGATAGTAAATAACATAAAATAATAGTTATGTGAATTCTCAAGTAATAATTTATAAACCACAAGTGATCACAATAGCTTTTTTGCTCGAATTGGAGCTGCCCAACTCGAAATTACTTAGCACATAGGAGATAAGATTGGTAGTTAACTAAGTATTTTTATCAGCAGTCTGTATGCCATAGTAGAGGCTCTACCTAATATGAAATCAGAAAGCCACACATGAAGTCACTGAAATTGTTTTAATTAGTCAGATAATTTGACAATAAACATTCCATTAAATATTATTAATTCGTACCTTAATATGGCAATCACGTCTCCCATTCTGGTGATACCCATGTCCCGTAAATACTCCTTGTTAAGGTCCAATAACATGTCATTCTGGATTCTATTTTCAGTAAATGTAAGTGCATATGTCGCTGACACATCCGAAGGTATACCAGCAGCAGTGAAGAAACTCACCCACATACCTTTAATAATAATATAATTACAATTATTAGATTAAACGCAATTGCTTGCAAGGCCTTGATTTGTTTAAAACATAATTAAATAAGTAAAAGTTAAAACAGTCATTTCTTTCTTAAGAATTTTAAATAAAATATTTTTTTTTTAAATATCCTTCAGAAACATACTATCTATAATGGACTGAATTAAAATATTTGAAGACTAAAAATACTGGGAGATATTACATATTTAAATTATCTGATATATCCAGCGACAATTTTACCAATAGAAAAAATGATCGAAATGCCTACACAAAACGTAAGACTTAACGTAAGGAATTAACTGGATAAGAATTCAATGGAAAAATAAATAATTTACAAAATAAGAATATCTTCCCTTTACATAAGTAAATCACCTTAGAAAATTATAAACTTTACAGAAAATACTTTGGATATGGTCTCGAAAACTTTAACCTTGAACCATTTTTGTAAGGTAAGAGCTTTTTTAAGCTTTCATAAATTTAGTAGTATAACTGATAACAACACTCACTAGTAAAATTGGTATCCATTTTCGATGCCGAAGCATTCATCATATTTCAGAAAAATATCAAATTACGACAATACGCATTGACAGACAGAACAACAAAGTCATAGATAATATAATAGTTGTCATTTTTGTCAAAGACAGTGTTGCCAACTACTAATATTTAACAAGTCTTTTTTTTTATTGTTTTCTCATTTTAATACATTAATCATATTTTTAAAAAAAAAAGAACAATGACTTTGATTACGTTATCATCAATTAACTTTTTACGGAACTTTTTACTCAAGTTTTTACGGAAAAGAATCCAAGTAAGTGAGTGAATCAAAAATTAAATGATAGTAATAGTTGAATGACTAAGATATATGTATATGATATGTGAGTTAAGACTTGATTTTATTGCTGAAAAACCCTTCAGAAGCCTTACAGAAGTTATATATAATATATATATATATATATATTATATTGTTTTAAATGAAATCTGTGAAGGATTTAATTTATTTAGAAAAAAGAATATTTATTATTCTATGCAACTTTTTTTATAAAAGAAATAAGTTTCAAACTTTTGAAATAATAAAAACAATCTTCAACTGAGAAGTATCTTTATTGTTTTTATTGGAAAATTTAATTTAAAGTAACTAAAAAGTAAATATCTTTTTTGATAATTTAAATACAAACATGTTCACAAAGATACTGTCATTTTAATGAATGTTTCAAATTATTATTGAACGTAAAAGCGTCTTATTAGACTTGTTATTTTACATTGTTTTTGATAATAACGATAACATTTTGTATCTCATTAAATTAATAAAACCTTGTTTATAAAGTTTATAGTAGTTAATTTCATGCTTGCATTCGTATGCATTTCCCCTCCTGTTACACGCCTCCGTCCTGATTCACGAAATCAATCATCAGATTGTAGGAAAGCGAGAGGCAAGATGTTACATATCAAAAATACGAGGGCGGGTCAATAAGTCCGTGACTTTTGGAATAAAACACAGATTTTTTGATAAAATAAAATAATTTTATTTTTCAACGTAGTCTCCCTTGAGCTCTATACACTTGGTCCAACGCTTCTCCAATTTTTTAATCCCTTCCAAAAATATGATTTGTCGAGGTCCTCAAAATAGGCCTTCGTTTGCGAGATGACTTCATCATTGGAGTCAAATCTTTTTCCACCAAGCCATTTCTTCAGGTTTGGGAACAAGAAGTAGTCACTCGGAGCAAAATCTGGAGAATAGGGCGGATGAGGGAGCAATTCATAGCCCAATTCATGGATTTTTGCCATGGCAACTGCACATGTGTGCACCCTTGCATTGTCTTGGTGGAAAAGAACTTTTTTCTTGGCCAAATGAGGTCGGTTTTTTGTTCAAATCGTCATTGAATCGGTCCAATAAGTTGGCATAATATTCCCCATTGATTGTTCTTCCCTTTTGAAGGTAGTCAATGTGGATTATCCCGCGTGCATCCCAAAAGACAGTCGCCATAACTTTATTGGCTGACAAACCCACCTTGGCCTTCTTTGGCGCCGATTCACCCTTAGAAACCCACTGTTTTGACTGTTGTTTGGTCTCTGGTGTGTTGTGATGGATCCATGTTTCGTCCACGGTTACAAAACGGCGCAAAAACTCCTCCATAGTGCGATTAAACAACGCCAAACCTTCCTGTGAAGTTGTAACACGATTGTGTTTGTGGTCGACTGTGAGCAATCGCGGCACCCATCTTGCGGAAAGCTTTCTCATGCCCAAGTGATCATTCAAAATTGAAACCACTGAGCCATGCGAGATCCCTACGGCTTCCACAATCACTTGCACTTTCAATCTTCGGTCGGCCAACACCATATCGTGAATTTTTTCGATTGTTTCGGGTGAAGAGACCTCAACTGGGCGTCCAGGACGTTCGGCATCTTCAGTGCTTGTACGGCCACAACGAAATTCAGTAAACCACTTTTTTACCATTGAAATCGATGGTGCAGAGTCCCCATAGTATTTATCAAGCTTAGCCTTGGTCTCGGTAATGGCTTTTTTCGCAAAAAATAATGCTTAATAAGCACACGAAATTCACTTTTTTCCATTTTTTCCTCAAATTACTGGGTAGTCTGATAAAGATAGCTGTCAAACACAAACTAACTGACGCAGCAAGTTCAAATTTTGACAGGAGTCAACTGACAGCTGACAGGAGTAGTGTTGCTTTTTCAGTAAAGAGGTCAGAAATTCAAAAAGTCACGAACTTATTGACCCGCCCTCGTATCTTTTTCATACCAACACCTTCTAATATCAGATAGGAATGTGGATTTCAGCCACATAGATAGAAATATATTTCTTATAATGTAAGCCACTTTGAGTTACTTCCATGTTTTCCTACGTTGGGGTTGACTTTAAGTCTAGTACCATACGACTAAACTTCGATTTTGACTTCGAAGCGGGTGCTATCGGGCCTCAACAACCCAAGTACTTGGAAAAATTGAAGTTCGGTAGAAAGACTTTTATCAGACTTCTTAGAACTCCAATCCAACAACTCGAGATGATAGCCACAGATGTGGTAACGGCTTAACGTGCTCTCCGGAGCACGGAAAGGTCGCGATGTGTTAATAATGGTCACCTATCCATGGACTGACCTGTCTAGGATTGCTTAACTTTGCAATGTGTTTACCTGAGTCCAGAACCAGTCAAACCTGACATGTTCAAATTGAAAATATTTCTATTTTGTACTTGTTTGAGTTAAAAATATTTATACTTTTAACTTGATCGCTGTCGACTAGAGATGGGCAAAAGACGAGTTCAGTTCAAAAGAGAGTTTCAATCTTTCAGTGGGTTTAAACCCATTTATTCCCTCCCACAGGGTTTTTATTCTGTTGTTTATTGATTTTACTGTTTTAATAGTCGTAAATGCTAATATCAATTAATACACTACTATATACTCTTTTCTACTCTCATATCTATTTGTATATCTCATATATTTTTTTAGTATCTGGTACTTGCTATAGCGGACGGATTATAAAGCAAAAAATTGCTTCTAAAGCAAACAGTTTGTTTGCAGGTGCCTGAGCGAAATTAAACCACTTGTGTGGTGGAAAGGTATAAACAGTTCTACAAAATTAAGTAAAGGAGCATTACAAATAATTCTGACAAAGCCATGAACATCTGCAGCCAAAGAAAACACATTTAGCACAATTACAAAAATATTGAATGTAATTATGCACAAGCACCGATGGACAGGTCAGTAAGACAACTCTTTAGGGAAATTCACCGGTTAGAATTGACGTTTATGAAGGTAAACGACGAATTCTAATTGATATTCTCGTGTTGTTTTTTAATTAGAAGTCGTTGTTTGCGACTAATCTACATACTGCATGCTCATTTAGTACAAAAAGCACACAGGCCCACACTACAAGTGAGCTTATATATTTGTGATTTATCAAAGCTGGAAAAAGGAGCGCACTATCAAGTTTCTGCCCCGGTTTGAAAAAACTGTAGATCTGGGCCTGTAAATCCTTTTTTTTAAATCTATTCGATTCATAAACGATAGAGTTCATTAACTCGGAGGCAAAGAAACAAGCATTAAATAATCATTGATTCTCCTTGTTTTTTAAATAGGCTATAAAGTAACATACCTTGGCCATCTATGGCGTCTGATCATTCTTAGACTGAAAATTTCACACTGAAAATTTCGAAACAGGTGAAATCCTTACAACAAAAATACAACTTACAGTTACTACATGATCTAGTCGAAAGGTAATAAATTGTCACATTTGATGTCCCGAAGTGATAGTGTGCTCGACAAAATCAAAAAAGGTTTTTGTTAGTGGTAATATTGGGTGATATTAGTTAGAACCCCGCCATTTGGGTTTAATCTCGTTTTCCCCCAAAAAACCCGGTTTAAACCTATTTTAACCCAATAGGTTTAAACCCTCTGCCCATCTAAATTCGCAACTCGACAATTAAAACTACTTTGGACTGACGTTGTTTCCAATAAAAGCTGGCAACCCTGAAGATTGTCACTTGTCCACTTGTCACTGCTTATCACTATGTCAAATTGTCAAATTCTTCGATGTGATGTGTGTATACTGTAGTGTTTATATGTAAAGGTTACACGAGTTTATTTGCTATAAAGTGAGCCATTTAATTAAAAGAAGAAGAAGAACCTCAAAACAAAGTAATAACAATGGCAAACTTCACTACTGACGGTAAACTTTGCATTGAACGTGAAATTGAAATCCAAAGCACCGATGCACAATTCGAAGATTTAATCACACGATTTGATGTTATTGAAACATGTAAATGGATAAAGGACAATAATTTTTTTACGGTAAATAGTTTATTTTTATAACAGCAACGATGAACCTTCATAGTTGATATGAAAACAAATAGAATTCAGAGAGATAGTAGGCATTAAATTTGTCACCATAAAGAGTAGGCGATAGTGCATAAGTTCTACTCTGCATTTGTAAAAGTTAAACGAAGTTTTTACTGTTATGGTCGTTGTATGAGTTAATACTGGTATTGTTTAACTTTGCCTATAAATGTTATGGACTTATTGTTGTATTCCTTCTAAATAGTGGTACATAATAGCCAATACTGTTCAAAACAACTACAAAAATATTATGATTATATGTTATGATGTTGTATTGTGTGATTGTATGTTATGTTTTGTAGTTGCACAAATTTTACAGTTAACAATTTTTTAAGCAACTAAATTTTTATTAAATCTTACGGTATTTTTTTTTCCTGTATTGGGTTGCACTGACTATAGTATTTACTGCATTCATTTCTGTTCACAAATACCATATTGCATACCATGGATTGTGAAAGTTTTTTTTTCTTTTTATGGTATAAGGGGGCAAACGAGAAGATGCAAAGCAAGAGATGCAAAGCAAGATGTAAGCAACTACCGTGGCCCAGTTAATATTACTATTTTAATACAGTTACAGTTTAATAGTTAATATTACTATTTTATTTATTTTTAAATTATTGTTGTTTTTTTAGGTTTGTCTTCAGTTTCCTGATGAATTGCTTGGTGTTAGTGCAAAAATATATGAAGAAATAAAGAAACGAATTGACATTGATCTTTATATTCTTGGTGACACTTCCTATGCAAGGTAAATTTTGCCTAATTATTAAAAATATTAGAGTGGATATGAAAACTTATATGTTATGTTATGGCAAGCATAAATTGCAGTTCTATCATAGCATTGGTAGAGAAAAAGATGTTCTCTTGCTAGAGATCACAGTTCTATCCATTGTCCAAAGTGAGAGTGTGAAAGATTCCATCCTCTTGTTTAAACTGACTGCCGAGGTGATATTGGCACATAAAGTAGTGGAATGGGAATGGGAAAAAATAAGCACTCTCCTCCTGCGACTGCAAGAGATGCTCTCCGATGACTGCCATGGTTTTGGCGCCCGAAGGGAACAAATTGACATTGTGTACTGAGCCGAGTCCTCAATGCTATCACAGTGGTGACAGCCATCCTGGCTCACTCGCGTACCTCTAACGGAACTCAACCGTCCGCCCACATACTTCGGCGAGCACTAACGCCTCCAAATTCTGCGGGGGTAGTTACGGCTAACGCGCACACTGCCTCTGCCGACACGGTGCAGTAACCGCTATGAGCGCAGGCCTGGGAGTAACAGTTCCTGTTGACCATTACCCTTGCAGAAGCAGGCCTGAGATCGCTCCGCGCGCGCCTCTCTATCTTTAAGGGGGTAGAGTCCCCAAACTCCATGGCTCTGGTAGTTCGCGTTCACACCTTCCGAAACTTGCGAAACATCTCTTACTCTTTCTTTGTTCCGTTTTGAAACAATCAAAACTGGTCATATAAAAAATCAGAAAAAGGTTTGATGAAAGATATAATGATGGTAGGTGAATAATTTTCATCATTACAGTTGCTGTGTGGACTCAGTTGCTGCAATGCATGTAAAAGGCAATGCAGTAGTTCACTATGGTCACACTTGCTTTTCCAAAACAAATATTCCAGTGCTAACAGTGTTACCTAAGAAAGAGCTCGATATAGAGGCCACTATGAAGGTTTTGAAGGATAATTTCAATTCAGATGATGACATGAAACTGTGCTTGTTTTACGACGCTGATTATGAACATTGTGGAGGTAAGTAATTGACGTAGTCAGATTTTGTCGACCTGAGTCGCTGGTTTGTGTCATAGAAATGCCTTCTATGGCATGCCTCTCTTTGAGGGTCAAGAAATAAGTGAAAAGAAAAAAAACGGAATCCAAAATAATAAACCTTGTTATTTAATAATTAACTAATATAAAAAGATTGAAATTTATATAATAGGCTCAAACAAGCAATGGTAACAATGCTTAGCGTTTTTAAGACAGAAAAATATATAGGAGGTTTGTTAAGTTGGAGAGAGAGAGATATTCTAACCTGTATTCATTTATTCCAGACATGATCACTAAATACTGGTTTCAGAACTACCCACAGAACTATGTTGCTTACATAGAGTTAGAGGAAAATCCTAATAGATTCTTTGGAAGAGTGGTAAGGAATAAAGACGGAGAACAGTTCACAGTCGAAGTACTGCAGGATTGCATCTGTGTAAATGTGGGTAGCAGAGGACAAACTTTATTCAACTATACTGTGTCTATAGCAGGTATGATCAAACTTTTAAGATTCCCTAGACGAATATTGTATGATAAGCACGATCATTTGTTCTATCTGGGTGTATGCATTTATAATAATAATAAAGCCCTTTTCATAAAAATTCTATAAATGTCAAAAAAAAACTATTTGGTATTAAAACTATTTGGAATCGAATAGCTATTAAAAAACTATTAATAAACTATATTTTGAACAAAAAAATGGGATGTAGATTTATTGTACATAGAAAATTAGTAACAATTTTACTTATCTTCCTTTACAGCTAAAGAATGGTATCTGTTAGACCCTGATAAATATAAAGTCGAGCGATTAGAAGAAACCATGTGGTTTAAACGACGAAGGTTCTTGGTAGAAAAGTGTAAAGATGCACAGGTGGTTGGTATTCTCGTTTGCAAGCTCGCTGGTGATCAGACCAAAGACATCATAAGCAGAATGAAGAGGTTGTGCAAAGTCAATGGAAAGAAGAGCTACATTGTGTCTGTTGGCAAGCCTAATGTTGCAAAGCTAGCCAATTTCCCTGAAGTAAGTTACTTACATAAACTGATATCATTTTTATGTTTTTGTTTTTTAAAGAAGTCACTGGTTAGTCAGCTTAGTGGTCAGTCGTGGTTAGTTAGAAACTCATTAGTCTTCAAATAAAATGTTTTTAATCGTCATCTGAAAAAATAAGGAAATGGGGATGGAGGCACCACACGTGTATCTCATGAGTGGCACGAGTCCATGGGGTCCTTGGTTGCCCTCTATTACATAAAATTATAAAAATAAAATTTTGATACTGTAGTCCATTCGCGTTAAGAAAACAGTGACGCATCAATCAAGCTCTGCCCCTTACAGATTAGGTTGAAGAAATTATTGTTTCGTACGAAAACTTAAAACGTGATTGGTCGGGGTGCAGGGATGGACGTGCGTAACCGATGCGTTACTATTTTCTTCGCGAATTGACTAAAATATATAGTTTTGTTACAGATTGACATCTATGTGATGATTGCATGCCCAGAAAATGAGCTTTATCTCACTAGCACCAAAGACTTTTACAGACCGATTGTGTATCCCTATGAACTAGAAGTGGCCTTGAACTCAAACAGGGAACCATACTTCACCACCCATGTCACAGATTATGATGACTTACTGCCTGGACGAAGGCATTATTGTGACATTAACCATGTTAAGGAGACTACAGATGTTAGTCTTATTACGGGCAAGATAAGAGAAACAAAAGTAGATACAAACGAAGGCAGCAGTATGGATTTAGCAGAAAAGCAAAATTGGGCATTAGAGAGTATCGGGCAAAATCTCCAAGACAGGTCCTGGAAAGGTTTAGAGCAAAAATTAGGTGAAAGTGAAGTAAAACAAGCAGAGGAAGGTCGTAAAGGCATACCTTTACAATACAGTAACGAAACAAAATGAATTTAGAATATTTTATTTTATATTTACATTTGTGGGTATCTAGCATTCTAGTACAAAATATTGTCCTATCAAGTAAGACTGGTTTCAATAAATTACTGCAATTAATGTTCACAAGTGTTTCATTTACAATATTATTTTTTCGGTTAGATCACCATCCTATGGAAGACTATTCGCAATCTTAACAACTATGCAACATTATTGTAACCGTTAAGAGCCAATAACTATTTATTTTTACCTGTTAATGTTTTGTAATCAAATTAGGAATATTAAAAATACAGATTGCCATTTACCTCCAAGTTTTACAATAAAAAAAAAGGAACTAAGTTTCCTATGTTTAGACATTGATTACCACAGACTAGTATTACAAGTCGAATTGCCAGGTAATAATATCTAAAATAGTAGATTCCTTTAACATTTCCATTACAACAAAATCCAAGTACTTCACTCTTAAGACTTCTGGTTTAGTGGGTTTTGTGGTGATTTCACCCATTCTTTTCTTAGCATCTGCTTGAGTTGTGAAAGCCGCAGAGTCGGGTTCTCAGCCTTTAAGATTGGTAGATTCACCTCTTCAAAGGCTGTGTATGCAGCCTTTAGTCGTTTTTCAGGGTGCCTGTCCATATCTGACTTTTCACTGGAAACAAACATTCTCAATTACTAATTTGTGTATTGCTCGGCTAACACTATTCAAATGGACTATGTCCACAAATATAATAGTAGGCCTTAAGTAGTAAACCTCCTTTCTAAGGAGAGGCCTATGTGGCCATCAGTGGGCTATTAAAAGGCTCTGGATGATGTTCACAAATGAACTAAATTACAGGCTACTAGGAAGTCACAGCATAAACCGTCGAGTACCTTGAGCCTACATACTTTGCAACAACTACAATGGCGTATGACTGTTAGTCATTGTCATAACTGAAATAGCACATTGGGACCTTGTGGCGAAGACCCTTCCCCCGTTATACCAATGGCGCCTACTAGTTTTTTCACTGTCAGATTCTAACAGCAGACTAGAAATTTCGACTTGGGACACTAAGCACAAGTACGGTCACATTTGTAGTGCTAAGTTAACCTATCATTGAATAACCACTGAAAATATAATAGAATTCTAATGGATCAGATTCTCTGGCAACAACCAGTAGGAGTTACAACCATGTGACCATTCATTCATAGGCAATAACCCAAGGGGTACTTCTACTCAGCTGTTATTTCTAATTTGCATTTTTGATGGCAAAAGGCTTGCCTCCTGCCTTATGTAAATACAAATATATTATAGTTGACAAATCTTTTCTCTTTAAAAAGACAACTCACACATTAGGAAATGAACCTGTGTCGCAGGGGACTTTACAAACATACATGAAGCAGACACAAAGAAGACCCAGACTCAAAACAATATATGGATCACACAAAGTGTTGTCCCATGTAGGGATCAAACCCACAACACTTGGTGCAGTATATTCAATCACCTAAACTAGAAAACAGAAATGCCAAAAAATATATTTTTGGTATCTATTTTTTCAATTGGTTTCTGGCCCAATAATATCATAAAACAAAACTGATCAGCAAATACCTAACAATGATAAAGGACATAATGTACCTGAGAATAGAGATGGCTTCATCCACGGACTGTGCAACTTCTCCATCAAGTGTTAGTCTGTTGAGATTCTCTTCCAATGGAGGATCTTCTACAACAACTCTAGTAGGCTGTAAGTGAAATTTTATTGATTTTATTATTGAAATGAAAACATTTGAACATCACATAATATTTGAATTTCATGTTTAAAGACAATTTTTTTAGGCTCATATGTAAAATTAAGTTGTCAATATAATACATATCATCAATGAAGTGAGTAAGTAAAAAACCTATACTTTACAGAGGAGTAACTGTGCTACTAACGGTGAAGCAAAATTTTGTGTCAAATCTTCACTTAAAGATATAAATTGATTTTCGTAATGATATTTTGTTGAGCTGTTTTTTTCTATCCTAGCCAAAAGTGTCAGGGATGATTTTGCAGGTTATGAATCCCTGACTTAAACTGAGCTGGATCTATAAGTTAACTGATAAGGTGGTAGTTTCATACAGCATTATTGGTAAGTTGTCTCCTTTCTGACAAGTTAAGAGGAAGTACATTATCTATTTTTTTATTAAAAGTTATCAAAATACTAAAAACGACTTGAACACTGGTCAGGTCTTCACTGACAATATTATCTTACCACTGGCTTAGGAGCTTCAACTTTAATAGATTTCTCCTTTATTTTTTCTATCTGTGCCCTAGTAATCTTGGGGGGTGGAGGAGCTGCCTTTGTATTAGCTTTAATAGACTGCATCTCTTTCTCTAGAAGAGCTTTAGCTTCTGCTTTCTTTTGTAATTGTTCTTGACGCTTCTTTTCTTCTGCCTCCTGAATAATAAAATTAGAATGATTATATGATCTTCACAATTTACAGTACAAGGTTTTAACTTATAAATGTTTGATCACAGTGTTTCAGATCATTTGATACAACAAACAGCCAGCTGTTAGAGTTTATAAGTGATAATCTTACCAACTTACATCCCATAATCCAAAAGCTAACATGTTAATTGTGGGTCCCATCTATAACTTGACAATTATATGTGTAATTTAGTTTTTTTTTTTTTGAGACTGGGTAACTTTGAGTTGTTGGGTATCTTGAAAAAACTGCCACATATATTATACTCTCTATGGCTGGAATCCCAGTTCTAGTACTAGTTTTAAAACTACTTCCTACACATATGAAACAAGGGAAACAGTGGTAACACTAGTCTTATTTCGTATAGTCTGGAGTTTTACAATAGAAAAGTATGAACACCAACCTTCTTCTGCTGTTTCTTTTTTAATTTTTCATCATTGTCATCCCACTCCGCATCTTCCACCATTTTCTTTAACTTAATTTCCTTTTCCTGTTTCGCATCCTCTTTTCGTTGCCTTGCAGCAACAGCCTTGCTGTTTTCGCCAGCGAATTTCTTCGGCATATTTTCCTATAAAGTGAATTTGGCTACGTTAAAAACTTTCCATGGGCGAATTCGCACGAATATGACAATTAAACATGTATTCATTGACACTTACTTATATTTACAGTAGAGACGCAGTATATTTATAATGCTACAGTAAAATGATATATTGGAATTCACAATTTTTAAAGAAATGTACACTAGAACTAGATTTATGATTGTGTTAGGTTATCTGTGGAAAATTGTGCATAAGTCAGCTGTCAAAATTCTCAATGATAATCATTCAAATGTGCCATCTATATGTAGGTACAATGCGGCAGCGTTTTAAATAGTAACAGTAAAAAATAGCTCATTTAAATAAATCTAATGTCTGAACATTAGATTTATTTAAATGAGCATGAGTTGGTATATTCAGGGTTTAGTCACGTATTTTTTTTTAAAACCTACTTTTAAAAAGTAGATTTTAACGTGGTGTTATAGAATAAGGCCATTAAACAGTTATCCTATTTACAACAGTTATAGTGGCATAACTCTTGTGTTTCTTTTATTGTCACTAAAATATTCTTTTCGAGATAGGCTTTTAACACTTTTTAGGCTACACATTAAAAAACAATTACGTTCATTATAGATACGTGTTTTTTTTTGTACGGACTTGCGTAGATTTGACCCTATAATAATTTTTTGACTTGGCAGCTCTGGACGTGAACTACTTGAAGTCGTGAAGTGACAAGTCTGACAAATAACAAATAGAAAAAAAGCAATATTGATCTTTATTAAAGATAATAATTAATTTGTTTTTATTTTGTAAAAGTTTTTAGTAACCAACCTAAGTAAGTAAGACAACCTATTCATTACAAAGAATTTGAACGTATAAGCAAACAGCATGGCTTTAGTTGCTTACGATAACAGTGACTCGAGTGAATGCGAAGACGAGGATAATGAAACTCCACCAGTGGTTTTAGTAAATAACAAAACAGAAAGTAAATCAAGTCTAAAACGTAAGTAATACTCTAGCCGACTATAAAATATATTTTCATATTGAAAATTCTTTTCCATTGGGATGTTTTCATCCGTGATCTCGATTGTCTAATACATCGATGTAATTTAGATCGTAATGTTTGCAGATCAAGTGAGATAATAATTTCTAGTTCCAGAACCAGTTCAACTACAAACAGCCACCAAAATAGATGAAGAACCAGAAGTGGGTGATAGTGAAAATTTATTCAAACTTTTACCACAACCATCAAGAAAAAAACCTGCTGTGATTGAAGAAGATGATGAATTTCTACATAAAAAAGAGGTTTCTAATGGTGTTAAACCTAAAGCAAAAATTACAGTGCCTTCATTAAATGATGTAAGTTGTAAGAATAAGAAGTTTGGTTATAATTACAGAGTCAATTTTTTTATCTTTCGTTTTATTTCCAAAAAGGTATAATCTGATTTCAAAACTTATTCTAGTATCCTTAATTTCTCTAAAGAGACCAATTGTAGTTGTATATTGTCTAAATGGGTAAATACAGTATGTACTTATTTCCTGTAAATACACCTTAACATGTAAAAATGTTTGAGTTTTTTATGAATGTTTTTACTGTTGTAATTATTGTATAATAGTTTCAACAGTAATAGTGTAGTTATCAGCCGCTCATTATATTAATAACATGTTGAGTTGTAACTATTTTATGTTGTTTACTTTATTGAATAAAAAAAAAATACAATTAGGAGCCTGTTACTGCAAGGCAATGAGTCTAAAATCTTAAATTATAAAATATACTAATATAGCTGAAGGATCAATTTGTTACCAACATCTTGAAGTCTTGGTTACTTCTATAAATAATTTATTATTAATTTATTATATGCTAGTATTGGTCCCATTGACCTCAACAAATCAATATTTTGAAATAAAAAAAAATAAACTATTTTGGGCAGATTATGGCCGGGAGCTCCTCTAAATTTCTTATCTTTAAACAGAAAATAAAGACATATTTCCTAGCGTTCCATTCACTGTGCGGGTGCCAGGTTCATCATGTGATAGATGGGGCCGACACATGCAACTTCAACAGTACCTGCCTATTGCGACCCAGGCATAGGTTTAGGGAGTACTCCTACTCACCTCCACTTCTGCTGTGTTACCCCTCTACCTAACCATATTTCATTAGTACTAGGCTAGTGCCTAGCAATGCTACTTTGGATATTCAAGAAAAGGGCTTACTGAAGCTCTTGGCAATCCACATTCAATTTTTATTCCGTAATCTTCTATTTCTTATGTTTTATACATATATTAGTTCTTTCAGTAATTTGTATATTTTTGTTTCAGTTTAAGGATGTGGAAACCAGTGCACCAATAGCAAAACCAAGAGTTACTAATGGAGTAAGCTTTTTTTTTATACATTTGTGTATATTGTTCTTAAATTTAATTTTTAATACATTCTACAATTCTTATACATCACAATACCCTTATTTATTATTACAACTGGTTATTTGAAAGAGTGCTACAAATATACCCTTTCCAATCGTTTATTTAACTTTTGACAGATCACGCACATAAAGTTTTGTAATAATTTTTGATACAATGTACTACAAGGAATACTGTACTTCATGGACGGGCACCGCCCACTTAGAGATGTGTCAAAAACGGTTTTGAAAAAAATCGATTATATTAATAAAACATACAATAAAATTATTGTGATTATATTTTATATCAAATCACGTAAAAAACCTTTATTATTTTGCATTAAAATGCTCTAAATGTCTCTGTTTTAATGCATAAATAATTTGCGTAATGAAAACAGTTCCTACTTGTAATGAACAGGTATAAAATGTTGAAATTCATAGTACTTTAGGGATTAAAAATTAAAAAACAAAAAGAGGTACTGTAATACTATTTTTAATTATAAAGAATCGTCTTTTTCGTATGACCAGGAATCATCATCACTTGAGTACTCAGTAATATTGATTATCAATTCTTGGACAGATAAATTGTCGAATGCAACATCCCGATCCCAATCCGACATTGTCACCTTTTTTGTTTTTTTACAACACTCCCAGTTTTCAGGAGTTACTTTTACACACGCATTTTTTAGTAAATCCAGCATTTTTCTTGCGGTGAAAGGAGTTGTATTGTTCCTCGCAGCATATCCTTTAACTTGCGCCCAAATCATTTTAATTGCATTATATTGGCAGTGATATGGGTGAATTCTGAGGACGGTATGCCCATGCTCTGCTGCCATTTCATCTATTACGTATCGTTTTGGCAGCTTCTTTGTTTTTAATATCTTTACTAACTCTACTTTTAGTAGGGACTCGTCTACCTTCTCGCCAGTTTATGATTTCATGTTTTTTGTTGACCTGCGTTGGCATTTTATTAATTTGACGAGAGTGATAGGGTGCATTATCAATCAATATTATTGGTGGCTCTTCGAGTGATGTAAGCATTTCTCTGAAACACTTTTCATACACGTTCGAATTCATCTCCTCATGATAATCTCCTGTTTTCTGGGATTTGAAAGCTAATAGAGCGTCTGGCACAAATCCTTTTACTGTTCCTGCATAGCAAATAATCAGTCGTTCGCCTTTTCCCATTGGTACTGCAGAAGTAGAGCCAGCAGTGTTGTCAGTCCAAGTTTTTGACAGCGTATGATTCGCATTGAGCCAAGTTTCATTTGTGAAAACACAGGACCGACCAATCTTCTATTTTTTTCGCTTGTCTTAAAAATTCGCATCGATACAAAGCAATATCATTGCATTCCATTAAAATGTTTCGTTTGTCACATTTTTGGAATAAGAATCCAATGTCTTTCAATACCTTTTAAAGAAGATTATAAACCACTATTTCGTAGAGATTTTGTTAGTTTTTTAATGTTGGAATCTCTTTTCTTTGGTAATAGTCGTATATATGACGACGAATAGCATCAGCGTCAAAATTGTCAACTGCTGTCACTTTACAGGTCTGACGTTTTTTCTTAGGTATAGATAGCTTATTCTGTACCATGCCACTGTTGCGTTACCCTTCTTTTGTTATTTTTGCCACTGTTGGAGCCCTAATACCTAATGCTGCTGCAACACGGTCTCTAACTTGAGTCACTGGTATAAGAGGCCCACCATTACGGCTTTCCTTTTCAAAGGGTTCACGAAGCCGCAAGACAAACTCTCTTGTTTGTCCTTTAAGTACTTTATTTTTTGGCATTTTGACAGTAACGAAGGTAGGAACGATACTCTCAACTCAACCAAACGTAAGGATTAACAAATAAATCAATACGGAGGAATATAAGTACTCAACTCGACGTATGAAAATGTTGATTTACACTGACAACAAAATGGCGCCGCGCGTTGCCGCCGCATCAGGTGCTGCCGTTTAAAAATCGATAAAATTACGAAATTATCGGTAAAATAATGTGTGTTAAATCGATTAAAACTTCTTCATGAATAAAATCGATCGATAAAAGAAATCGAATCGGTAACGGGTCAGGGTCTCACTATTTGATTAAGTATTAGAGCTGTCAAAAGTTAAATAAACGATTGGAAAGGGTAAAACTTAAAATAATTGGTAATTAATTAAATGATTTTGGAATTAATACAACAATAAATATAAAATATACTGTTAAAATAAGTGATATTTAAAACATCACTGTACAAATAATACTTTTTTTTTCTATTAGAAAAAGTCAGGGCTCCTCAGCATGCTCCCACAACCAAGAAATGGTGTAACTACCACAACAAGATCTTTAATACCAAATGTCCTAACAAAAAAAACCGTCAACTGCTTCAGTGGCAAAGAAGAATCAAGCCCCTGTTACCGCAACTAAAAATAATTTGAACCCAAAACCCCTGATAAATGATTATTCAGATGAAAGTGATAATGAAGAAGTTGAAAATGATTTCTTCTCAATAAACAAACCCGTAGAATTACCTACAGATGTGGGTATGGCCTTAGATGTAGAACCAAACACTAGTACAAATACAAACACACAAAGGCCAAGAGGCATTGAGTCTTTCTTCAAGAAGGAAGAAGTCAAACCTATAGAGTTGGAACCCGATTATGACAGTAACAGTATTGCAGACCAGTCTGAAGCTGGGTCAAGCTATAATGGCTATGGATCTGAGAACTCCAACAGTAATGAAGTGTTGCTTGATGATGAAGCTGTAAGTTTTTTTTTAACAAGTTTTCACCGGTACCAACAGTTTGACAAGTCAATTCTATATGAATATTACTAAACTTCAAATATTTGTTATTAAGTACTATGTTAGTAGAACCGAATGATTTATTTATTTAGGCAAGATTAATATTTTACTTGAGGTCAAGTGCAGGTGGTATTCATATTAATTAATAATATACAATTTTTTAATATTAGTACAAGTACTGTGTTAACATGAGTACAAGTAATGTGCTAATATGAGCACAAGTACATTAACATGAGTACAAGGAATGTGCTAATATGAGCACAAGTACATTAACATGAGTACAAGGAATGTGCTAACATGAGTACGAGTACTGTTTTAACATGAATATGAGTACTGTATTAACATGATAACAAGTAATGTTTAACCCATATTAAAAGTGTGCTCCATTAAAAATAATTTCTTAAAACTCAAATTCTATGTGAAGAAACATAACTGATATGCTATCCCATATTGAGCATTTGTTTTATAAGATTAAAATTAAATAAATACAATCATTCTGCAAACTTGGTGTGCAATAAATGCTTTTATTATTATACAGATCATGAAACTCTGTGGCTCACGAGGAAAACGGAAACGCGAGGAAATACAAATAGTTGACGTGAACCAGAAGGATGTGTTAGCCGATGCAAGGGAGATGCTTCTCAAAGGTCTTATGGATGACACGACCAAGCGCGTGTCGGCGAGCAAAAAGAAGGGCAACGAACCGACTAGCCAACAGAGACGGAAGCACCAGATTACATACTTGGCTTATCAGGTCTGTTACTGTGTTTATATTTTGCTTCTGTTCATATCTCGTCTTAATTTATGTCGAAAGAAAAAGAAAATCCAATCTAAATAAGTTTGTTGTTTTCAGGCTAAGGCTAATGAAGCTGAATTGCAGAATCAATGGGCAAACAACAAAATGTCAAAACGACAGACTCAAGCAAAGTATGGATTCTAAATTTGTTTTTAATTTAAAATAAAACTGTAAATATTGATCATATTTTCAATAAAATAATAAAAGTAGTAATCTAAAGTATTTTATTTATACAAGAGCTAATTTACAAATTATAACTAAATAATTAATTACAGTCTTCTGGCTTTCCTTGGTCTTGGTGGGTTCCAAGAAACATGTGTATTATCAGTAATAGATACAACATCAAGTCCTCCCATCTGCAGCCCTTTGACCGCAGCCTGTTGAAAAAATAGGTATAAATAAAGATTCCTATACCCCTTGGGGTCACAATAGGTTTCCCAGGGGTCGATATAAACGAATTGGGGTCGATGAGGACTAAAAATCGAACACTGGTAATAACCACAAGATCTTATTTGAAACTTTCAAGATCAGTATAAGTTGTGTAACATGTACCAACTTGTAATTACTAATATTTTAGTAGGTAGAATCATTGTTGTACTTTTAAAGAACTCAAAAAGTCAATAAGTCCAAACATGAAACATGCTTCTGATATTCCAAGTATTTTTTTGTATCAATAGGACAAAAAAAGGGATAGGTAAAGGAAAAAACTGGAGATAGGATTTTTAAAGTAATTTGGGGTCTGCAATATCCATTAATTTTGGAAAGGGGTTTCTTGTCCAAACTAGTTTGACAATCAATGCTATAGATCTTCTAATTTAAAAAGGAACTTTTTAATAATAATATTTAACAGTAACACATAATTAAAACTTTAATTTTGTAGCTGAGGCCTCCATTTAAGTATGATATACATACTTGTGCCGGGGGACCCCTGCTCTTCTATTAATTATAATTTTATTAATACATTTCTATACACACACACACACAAACACAGTAATAAGTAAATTGTAATAAGATAAAAATTAAACTATAATAAGGGATCTTACCAATCTACCTGGCCCCAGTCCCTGGACCCTAACTCTAATTGTTTTAAAACCTTTGTCAATAGCTCTCTGAAACAAAAACAAAATCCGTGTTATTTCATTTGCTACCCATTATTGTCTTAAAGCATTCAAATAAAGGCTGTCTGAAATAATAATACTGACCATAACACGTTATTGGAGTTCTTATTAACATCCCAACCCATAAAAGGTTTTGTATTAGGATTGGGTTCAGGGCAGTGGTATATTAGTTATTATAATAATCATTAATAATAACTCAATCATTATTAATATTTAAAAGTGTAATATTTGTTTGAAAATATAATTAACATGTGTGGATAAAATAAATAAAGAGAATAATAATCATCTCTATTTCCAAGAATATGAGTCGGGTACAGATTTTACAAACGGTCTTTATCATCAGGTAGGTGGTTATCAATTCTTATGCATGAGTAGGTATATATTCTAGATCTCTTTTTCGTCATTGTAGTCTGTGAGACACTTGCATATATGAACCCATCGCCACTTGGTTACAAATTCAACACCTTAGTTTTTATTTACATGTATATTAAGTATGATCTTACCATAGCTATACCAATAGCAGTTGTCTGAGCAGCGATATTAGTTCCTTTCTTAGTATTTTTGAAACCCTCCATGCCACAGGATCTGATTATCTTGACTGAGCCCAGAGCATCGGTGAAAGTGAATATTGTGTTGTTGTGGGTCACTCTGATGTTGCAAATAGGTAGATCTTTGTAAGCTAAACCGCCAAATATTAAGTTATCTGATTCTAGAGTAGGAAATAGGTTTTGTTTTCTGCAAAAAAAAAATGCATAAATGTAATTCTATACATTACACAAATGCATCTGGGTTATAAATGACTAATACACGAAAACAAAATATAGATAACTTATGTAATAGTTACTACCTTTCATACGTATACTCACGCTTTTAGTACAGCGTCGAGATCCACGAGCTTTTCACCCTGAACACCTTCATCTTCAGTTGGAATTCTCTTGTGGTCGAACTTTTCTGACGATTGTGGAGCGGACGTTTGAAAGAACCGCGCCACGCTAATACTAGGAACTCGCAGAGTATTTCTTATTGCGCTCAGCATATTTCTAAGTGTGTTTATTTTAATTTCTAACGATATTTTGTACGATTATCAAAATCATAACCAAAAAATGTCAGAACGACAGATGACATTGACAAATGAATCTTATTGACGTTACGTGTTACGTTTCGTTAAGTTTTATTTCGGAGTAGTTATATGAAATAGTGTAGACATCACCTCAAGGTTAAATTTTAACCAGCTTAAATGTCTTGTTTTATTTAGATAGACAAACCATACGCCATATATTTGTTTAAAAAGGGTTATGTGCAACAAATTTTCTTCATGTCAATAAGTATCTACTTATTACGCCATTTATACTTATATCTGCAAAGATTGTTTTTTTTCTGCATGTTACTACAATTTTAGAATATGGCAAATTTTATGGCAAAATCCAGATCAGATCAATACTTCATAACTCCTAAAGCCGAAATGATGCATGATGTCAAACTCTTAATTTCAAATACTTTTAAACCGGTACAAAGCGGCAGCAAATCGCATGAAATATAAGGCGAAAAAAGATGCCGAGTCGCGTTGCCACTCCTGTTTTTTCCTGTGCGGAAATCCCCTCGGATACCACTCACCGATCGGAAGGTTAGACTCGAACCGACCCGCACGCCGTCTCGGGTACCAGTTGTCGGGAAACCAGGTGTACCCTAGAAAGGAAATCCCTGGTACCCCGACGTACGTCGGGCCATCTACGGCGTGTAGATGACCCCCGCCTGTGTGGGAATCCCGGTCCCCCCTTTGTGTGCGTTGCCACTCCTGGTGTCTAATTACTTTTCTTGTCAAATGCCATTGATTGGTTTACGACAAGTGTAAAAAAAAATAGAGTCCGTGTAGTGACGGATTAAGAATACGGAATGTCACTACCCCAATTCATCCCGTGGGTGTCGTAAGAGCCGCCTAAGGGCGCAAAACAACGCAGGTCACCAGCACTGCAAAAAGTAGGAAAACTTGACACAAACCCTATACCAACCCGTCTGGCCAGCGTGGTGTAGTAGGCCAAAACCTCCTTTCTAAGGAGTATGTCCAGCAGTGGACTCTTAAAGGCTGATGATGTGATGTGTGTGATGTAAAAAAAAACACAATACCCTTACACAATAATTTAATAACTTATAGAATATACATATTATATAAAGAGTCACACATATTGTTTATTTTTTGGTTATGATATCTTTGTAACACAAGACAGATTGAGTAAAACCCAGTAGCGAAGCAGGTACACGCAGTTTTACAAGCCGCAAATTACCAGCCTCTGCTACGAAGTTAGCTTTCAGGAGTTCTTTGATCGCCCATTCGGTTGTGTACTGTATTGGTTCGAGCTCTTCGCCAGGAATTTCCATGGTAAGGATGTAGTTAATAATATGGGGATAAATAGGTGTTGACACAAGTTGTAAGAAGAAATTGCTGTCTAGTAATTCCTTTATAAGATCGTTGTCTATTTCTTCTAGCTGCTGCAAGAATTCCTATAATAAATAAAGGGGTATATTTAATTAATGCGCAAGATGGCTGGCAGGAGCTGGATGCGAGAAGCCCAAAATCGATCTAAGTGGCGTGCAATGGGAGAGGCCTATGTCCAGCAGTGGACTGCGATAGGCTGATGATGATGATGATGAATTGTGCTAAGCTAACTTGTACTTATAGTGTTTTGTGGAAAGGTTTGATTTTGAACATATATTTTTTTAAGTTTACGGATTTAGGGAAAAAATATTTGCGTAAAAGAAATATTATTTAAATATATATCAACTCATTTTGGTTCAACAAAAAATTTTAATTAGGTCGGCAAATGTAGTGAAGAAAGTTTTATTTATGGCGGATGTTAGAGGACGACCAAAGAAAAGATGGATGGACTGCGCGAAAGAGGATATGACTAGGAAGGGAGTAAGTAGTGAACTGACGAGTGATAGAAGGAAATGGAAGAAGAAAACTCATTGCGCCGACTTCAAATAAATTTGGTAAAGGGTAAGAAGGTGATGATAAGGTTACTTACGTTATCCTCATGTATTAAGCTTAATATACGCGAGTCAGTATCGTCACATTTGTTTAGTAAAATCACCCAAATAACAAGCAGCACATACTGCGATGGTATATCTTGGATAAGATAGTCAATTTCCTGAAAAGAAACTTAGTATTATTATTTATTTTTTCTTTTAAAGACAATTCTCGCATTAGAAATATATTAGGTCTTTACCTATGAAATTGCCGTTTTGTATGCAATAAGTGAAAGTACTTATTTTTTCAAACTTTTTTATTTCTGATATTAAAAGTAATCACCCATGCAATCGACGCATCTTTGCCAACACATTGGCAGTTTATTGATGCCCTTCTTGTAAAAATCAGCTGGACGGGAGGCAACAAACTCTTCAAAGGCATTTTGTACTGCCTCTCGGGAATTGAATTTTTTACCCACTAAAAGTTGTCTAAATTTTGGAAAAAGTAATAGTCGGTAGGTGCAAGGTCTAACTTCGAATAACAGAAATAAAAAAGTTTGAAAAAATAAGTACTTTCACTTATTGCATACAATACGGCAATTTCATAGGTAAAGACCTATTATATCCTGTGTCGCGGAGGACTTTACAAACATACATAAAACGGACATAGAACAACAATTTGTGGACTACATAAAGTGGTGTCCTATGTGGGGATCGAACCCACAACACTCGCTCAGTAGAAAGTGGCGAAAGTCAATAATTACAGTATTAAAATGTTAAATGCGAACACTTCTTACCTCATCTACAAAGATCCCCCTCTTCACTAAGAGTTTTATGAGGACCAAGGTATCCTTCTCGTCGCCAACGTTACCGAGCAAGAACTTCAAGTATTCGCAGTGTAAGCTCCTGAATTCACTGTAACAAAATATACTTGCAAAACATGTCTTACTTACATCAGAAGGCCAATTCTCGTAATAAAAGTTCGGTCAAAATTCAGTTCCGATCAACTCTCGATCTCGCAACTTACATAAAATATATTTTCGTAGTAAAATAGTAAAGTATTACTAAGACTAGCAGATTACCGATTCAATTTTCGGTTACAATACGATATAATCACATTACAGTCAACGTTGAATGTTTAATGCTTTACTACGAAAATACCTTTTATGACAGTTGTGTGATCGAGAGTGGATCGGAATATATATATGAATAGTGACCGAACTTTTATTACGAGAATTTGCTTTCTGGTCATTCGTACGTTTCTTAGTTATGTCTTCTATATATCAAGCTACTGATATCTTAAATGTCATCGCATTCGGTTCGAAGGTTAGCTAATTAAACAATAATAAATAGCCAGTTCCCGCCAGTCTTTTGATGTCTTCACTACAACGCATTTGTGGTCTTCCTCGAGAGCGTTCGTCCTCCAATATTGTCTTGCACCAAGAGCTTTGTTTACGAGCGGTGTGTCTTCACAGGAGTGGATGGAAACTGGCCAAGACCGAGAAAGATGGCATAAACTGAAGGAGGCCTACTCCTTAGCTGTTAAAAATGGCGAGCGAGCGAGAGATATGTTCAAATCAATAGTAATAGTAACTGATTTGACAACAGTTAGGTATGACGTCACACCTCAGTAATCAATTTTAAAATGTACCGCGTCTTTCGTTTTCAAGTTTAATAATAAGATACTGATTTGACTTGACACTTGATACCATTACAAAGTTTGCTTTGAAATATAATTCAAATGGCACTCGATTAGTGTTTCTAACCTATTGTGGTTTAGTGATGTGCTTTAAATAGTAAAAAGAGTCTCCATGGTGCTACCTATATAGTGCTATATACTAACCTGGCTCTAGTGGGAGGCCAGCAGTTGATTACGTCTACCAGTAGCCTCAACTGCTGCCAAGAGTTAGCTAGCGACATAAATTTATTGAACGTCTCTCGTCTTCCTTCCTCGCTCATCAAGTATGATCCTGTATTTAAACACAAAAACATAAATATCAATGAAAGTATTTGTAACATCGTACAAAATATTTGCGTCAAAATCTGTATGACATGCTTTGTTAAAACATAGTTATAATATGAAGACCTATTTGTTAGAGTTCCATGGATTCACCGTGCTGGTGCCAGGTCCATCGCGTGATAGATGGTGGCAACACATGCGACTTCGACAGCGCCTGGGAATTGCGACCCAGGTATATGTTTAGGGAGTACTCCTTGTGACGCGTCGGAGCTTACCTCCGCTGTCTGCTGTGTTACCCCCTATACCTAACTATATTCTTTCGACTAAGGAGTAAAGCTTTATGTTTGGAATGAAGTTCGTTATTGAGCGGATTGGAGCGAGACCGAAAAATTGTAACAAGACTTATTTCCGACACTATGGTAAACGTCTACCGTACCGACCGGGGGTCCATAGACCCCTCATTTATGTTTTATTTTCATCAAGGCACAGAGTAGACGACTCACGTGATGGTAAGTGATTACCGCCACTCATAGCCTCTTGCAACTCAAGAGACACAAGAAACTAATCTCAAGCAGTGCACGGATGGCGTAGTGGTTTAAGCGGTCACCTCACCGCTTCCTACTGCGCTGAGTGGGGTGGGATGGGACAACACTTTGTGTGATCCACAAATTTTTGTTCTGAGTCTGAGTGTTCTTTGTGTCCGTTTCTTGTATGTTCGTAAAGTCGATTTATTCCTAGTGCGGGAGTTGTCTTTAAGAAAAAGAAAAAAACAGAATTCTTTCTTTTTCACCCAGCGAGTTAGTATATTGGAGGCCCAACTCCTTCTCCTTTTTTTGGAGAGAGGGGCACTGAAAGGTCTTCAACACAATTGTGACTTTTATGTTGCTGGTGTCAATTGGCGGTAGCTGTCATTTGCCATCCGATAACCAGACTGCTCGTTAGAAATAATAATAATATTTTCGGACATCTGACATACAACGCCATCTAGTTTCAAACTAAGCAGAGCTTGTACTACAAAAAAAAAATTGCAGAATCAGAATAAGGTCTTGGTTACTTTTTGTATATGATTTACATCTTATTGTCGTGTAGATTCTTATAAGTATAAAGCTTATTATTAAAGCTAACATAAAAGTAGTATGTGACTATTCTAACAAATTATAAACCGTGTGGTGCATATTATGAATGCGGAATATCACCACCCCTATTCATCCCGTGGGTGTCGTAAGAGCCGACTAAGGGAGCAAACTACGCAAAACAACAGTACTGCAAAGAGAAGGAAAACTTGAAACCAACCCTATACCAACCCGGCTGGCCAGCGTCGTGTGGTAGGCCAAAACCTCCTTTCTAAGGACAGGCCTATGTCCAGCAGTGGACTTTATAGGCTGTTGATGTGATGAAAGCTAGGTGTTTATACATAGAGTTTGCCTAACTTACCTGTCAGTCCATCAGTGTATTCTTTGTGCTCAGAATTCCCCCATTCGTTGCGGAGCAGTTCCACAGAGAATTCCGCCATCTTCATCATATCATGGCCGTCGTGGACCTTGGCCCGCTGGCTGAGCGACAGAAGGCTGACCTGTTTGTGTGGAGGTAGACCGAACTGGGTGGCCTTCTGAAGAGTGCTCTCCAATAACTCTTCGGGGAATTTCACCCCGTCCTTGTGGTACTGAGTTAGGCGAGTGCATAGAGTGTGTGCAGCGCTGTGATAAATGATGAATTACTTCTATATAGTTTTTATTATGAAAAAAAAAACCTACGTATCTGTTTGTTTGTCTATCGGTGTATCTGTATGCTGTCTGTGGCATAGCAGCTTATAAACGGATAGACCGATTTTGAATTGTTTATTTTTCTTTAAAAAGAGACTGGTTCTTAGCTATAATCCAAGACAATTTTTTTAGCCTTTTAAAGATTATCTATCACTTTTGGGAAGTGGAATGATTAGACTACCGCATAGAGAAAATGGAATGGTTGGACTATCACCTTGAGAAAGAACTCGAAAGGTTAATAATATGAAATAATGATATAAAATATGTGGTCTCACTCAGAGTCGTGCAGCATGTGCGTGACGATGTGTCGGAAGACGCGCGGCGGGTCCGCGTCCACGCGCAGGCACTGCATCAGCGTGCTCAGCGCCGCCACGCGCATGTCGCCCGACATCACGAGCCGGCCCGCGCACGACACCACGGCCTCCGCCTCGCCGTGACTTCTCTCTATCTCACTGGTTGGAAAATTATAATAAAAATAAGTGCTCTATATGGCACTCCTAAGAAAAAAAAATACTTTTTAAACTATTACCGACTTCCGACCCCGATTTTGAAGTGAAGTTAACAAATATAAAATGAGCCACCAATGAGTACACCAAATTTTTTTTTTAAGAAAACTACCGCACTAGTGATATATCCCGTGTCGCGGGGAATTTTACAAACATACAACAATTTGTGGATCGCACAAAGTGTTGTCCCATGTGGGGATCGGACCCACAACACTCGACACTACTGTGTCGAAGCGGCGAGGTGACCGATTAAACCACTACGCCATCTGTGGAGTAATTAATACATTACAAATATCTGTCCACATTCCCGATCATTTCGTTGTGTCTAGGTGTAATTTATCTACATATATTACGTACGTAGTTAGAAATATATAAGTATTATTATCAGCAATTTAGTAACATTTTTTTGTATGCCACTCTGCCCCTTAAATTGGAGAGATCCGGGAAACTATTTTCGTCCCTGGCAACTTTACTATCGATTATATCGATGCTATCGGTAATTTTGAACTATCGATACTTATGTATTCTGTTATAGATAACTTTGTTGGTATAATATAATGTTCATTCAGTGGCCAGTGCTATTCCTTTTTTATTGATATTATTCAGTTTGAACACGAAAATCACACGTAATTCTTTGAGACACAAACATAGACTTACTGATCACAAATCACTGATGATCACCGTTAGTATTCAGAGGGAAAGGTCGTTTATAAACGTTATTTAATAGGCTGTGACAAACACTAAATAAACTCGTGTTACTGTTCCGCGTATACGAGATTCAGTGACTTTTTAAGCAAGTTTTCAATCATCATCATCATCATCAGCCTATCGCAGTCCACTGCTGGACATAGGCCTCTCCCATTGCACGCCACTTAGATCGATTTTGGGCTTCTCGCATCCAGCTCCTGCCAGCCATCTTGCGCAAATCGTCACTCCACCTGGCCTGTGGGCGTCCTACACTACGTTTGCCGAGACGCGGTCTCCACTCAAGAACTCGTTTTCCCCAACGGTTATCGGTTCTGCGGCTAATATGGCCAGCCCACTGCCACTTCAGCTTGCTGATCCGGTACGCTATGTCGGTGACCTTAGTTCTCTGCCGGATCACCTCATTTCTGATGCGATCCCTTAGAGAAACGCCGAGCATAGCCCTTTCCATAGCACGTTGAGCGACTTTGAACTTGTGGACCAGCCGTACCGTAAGTGTCCACGTTTCAGCTCCGTATGTCATGACGGGTAGGACGCACTCATTAAAGACTTTCGTCTTAAGGCACTGTGGGATCGACGATGAGAAGACTCGACGTAGCTTCCCAAACGCTGCCCAACCCAACCGAATTCTTCTGTTCACCTCGTCCTCGAAGTTGTTTCTACCTAACTGCAATGTCTGCCCGAGGTACACATAATTTTGAACAACTTCGAGAACGGCACCGTGTACCGCAATCGGTTCCGGTAGTACATGTTCGTTGAACATGACCTTGGTTTTATCCAAGTTCATCCGTAGGCCGATGCGTACAGAAGTGTCAGCTAAGTCATTCAGCATCTGCTGTAGGTCCTGCAACGTCTCTGCCATGATGACGATGTCATCTGCAAATCGCAAGTGAGAGATGTATTCGCCATTGATATTGATGCCACGCCCTTTCCAGTGCAGCGTCTTGAACATGTCCTCCATTGCATTTGTGAACAATTTCGGGGAAATAACGTCCCCTTGTCTCACTCCTCGATGCAATGGTACGGGCCTTGTTTGCTGATTCTGTACTTGGACGGACATGGTGGCGGCTTCGTAGAGACATCTCATCACTTGGATGTATCGCCAATCTACTTGGCAACGCTGCAGGGACTCCAGAACAGACCAGATCTCGATCGAGTCAAAGGCTTTCTCATAGTCCACGAATGCTAGACACAGGGGCTGATTATATTCTTCGGTCTTCTGTATAATCTGCCGCACTGTGTGGATGTGGTCTATGGTGCCATATCCGCTCCGAAACCCAGCTTGCTCCGGTGGTTGGAATTCGTCGAGTCTTTGCGCAAGACGGTTCGTGATGACTCTCGAAAACAGCTTGTAGACGTGGCTTAGAAGGGATATGGGTCGATAGTTCTTCAACCTGGTCTTGTCACCCTTTTTGAAGAACAAGACGACCACACTCCTACTCCACGCTTCTGGAGTTCTCCCTTCAAACAGGACAGCGTTGAAGAGCTTTTGGAGCTCCCTTAGTACGGGTTTACCCCCGGCCTTCAGCAGCTCTGTTGTAACGCCATCCTCTCCAGGGGCTTTTCCATTTTTCAGCTGTCCAAGAGCCATCTCGATTTCGTCAATGCTAACTTCTGGCAGGTCTTCGGTGTAGTGACGTGTTAATGTGGCTCTAGAGTCCTCATTTTCGGGATCAGGTCGAGATGCATGCGAAGCGTATAACCGGCCATAGAAGCTTTCCACTTCCAAAAGGACTGCCGGCTTCGAAGCAACGACTTCTCCACTTTCTGTAGTCAACTTTGTCAGGTGGCTTCTTCCAAGAGATTGTACGAACACTTTTGACCCCCGATTTTGCTCGATCGCTCTTTCAATTGAAAGAGTATTGGAGCACCGGAGGTCGTGTCGTACGAGTTTACTGATCTCTCGGTTTAGAGTCCGCTTTGCCGACAAAGTGACAGGTGGGTTTTCACGTCGTTTCTTCATCAGCCCTAGGGTCCTTTCTGAAAGCTTCGACTTCCTGCCCTTACGCTGCATTTCACAAAATCTCATACCTTCTTCCCTGAGGATCTGAACCACATTTTTGAGGTTCTGGTTTACGTCGATTGTGGTTTCCACGGCAGCGAATCGGTTTGCCAGTTTTGACTGGAACGTTTCAGATCCTGTCATGGCCTGGAGCCGAGTTGGTCGGAGCCTGGATTTCATCAAACAGACACGTTCCGCCTTAAAGTTGATATTCAGAGAGCCCCGGACAAGTCGGTGATCACTACCGGTATTAAACCTATTGATCACTGAGACGTCTCTGAATATGTGCTTTCTATCCGTCATGATGAAATCGATCTCATTTCTAGTCATAGCGTCGGGGCTTTGCCACGTCCACTTCCTTTGGGGCTGTTTCTTGAAGAAAGAATTCATCAAAAACAGCCCCTCCCGTTCGAGGAAGTTGACCAGCATTTGCCCCCTATGATTCCTGCTTCCAAATCCATGGGATCCTACTACCGATTCGCTGCAATTCTGTACTCCCACTTTAGCGTTGAAGTCACCCATAACAACGTTGTAGTGGGTCTTAGTTGTGAAGTGGAGGGCCCTCGATATGTCATCGTACATATCCTCCACCTCGTCGTCCGAATGTGCCGAGGTCGGTGCGTACACTTGCACAACCTTGAGGCTATACCTTTCGGTGAGCTTGATAATGAGGTACGCTACCCTGTTCGACACACTGGAAATTTCCACAACGTTGTCAGATAGGGACTTATTCACCAGAAACCCAACCCCACCTTGGGATTGTTGGTCTCCCTCGCGGAAGTACATTAGGTGGCCTGACTCGAGGGTTATGGTGTCCTCCCCCTCTCTTCGGACTTCACATAGCCCTAGGATATGCCACCTAATCTTCCCAAGTTCCACCTCAAGTTGCGCCAGATGCGAGTCTAGCCGTAGCGTGCGTCCGTTGTACGTAGCCAGGGTCAGTCGGTTGTGGTGGCCTCCCGTAGCCCGGAGATTCTTCGCACCCCCTGCCCCGCCTTTACCGTGGTCGCCACCATGACCAGGAATAGCGGGGCCGCCGGGAACTGGGGGCCGTGGCCTTTGTTGCGTCTGCATGAGAGGGGTTTGCCCATAATCGCCACGCTGGGCAGGCGGGTTGGCGATCGCAGGGCGTAGCTTGTCGCACCGGTAACGCTGCTGCCCGTCACCGGCCTGTTATATTTAGCTACGCCTATTGGGATGGATATACCGCCATCGGTCGGTCGCCAGAGCCTCGTTCGTCGTTCAGCAGGATGCACCGCGGGCAGGTGAGGTTGGCTTGGGGCGAAAGATGGTGGTTCGCCCCTCACACCCCAAGTTTTCAAATATACCCTAAATATCTTAATATTTAAAAAATTTGGCTTTTTTACAGTTTCCTACGTAAAAAGATCATCATCATCAACAGCCTTTTATAGTCCACTGCTGGACATAGGCCTCTTCTTAGAAAGGAAGTTTTGGCCTACTATACCACGCTGGCCAGACGGGTTGGTGCAGGGTTTGTGTCAAGTTTTCCTTCTGTTTGCAGTGCTGTTGTCCTGCGTAGTTTACTCCCTTAGTCGGCTCTTATGACACACACGGTATGAATAGCGGTGGTGATACTTCGTTTTCTTAATCCGTCACCACACGGATTCGTAAAAAGATCCGCTGAAATAAAAAAATTAGACCTGCTTACGGTAATCTGCGCCACTCAACGTTATGTAGAATGTGCAACTCACTTCCATATATCATTCCTGGGCACGCCACTGTTTTCGATGAGGTTCTGTATGGGCGTCGAGTGGAAGTTCTCGAGGAAGCGCGCCCACCGCGTCAGCTCCTGCCCCACCTGGGCCCACGTCTGTTCACTGAAACATTTGCCATGTCACTGAAACTAGCACTCACTTTGACGTTCACTTTATTTGAAGCACTTTATTGATTCACTTTATTACAATATGTGAAAGAAATTCTTTGTAAAAAGGGATTATAAATGAATATGGCGCAAATTAATCATAAAGTGCTAAACTTTTTAAACAACACGTGTTATAAAGTTAAAAATTATGTGAAAACGACTACACAAAGCTAAAGGGGTCCAGTATATATTTTGATATACAAAGACAGGTCAAGTTATACAAGTATACATTCAAAAAAGTAAAAATTCGACCTCCAGGGGTGCGCTAGTAGATACTAGTGATTGATACATTGAATGGACACCGCTAACGTTCATGTTTATTAGTATTGTAAATATTTTACATACTTTTTGTTAAACTTGAAGTCGTTTTCTTGTTCCTGCTGACAGTAGTCAACGGCTTGCATTATCATCAAGTTGCGCGTACCAACCGAAATTCTGCAACAAAGTGTATGTAAAAATGTGTCATTAGTTAGGGCGTTACTTGTATTGTATATCCACAAATAATAATCAACCACGGTATTACTGTAATATAGTCTGTTTACAAAATAATATAATAATAATAATATACCTCACACATTTCACACACGGCTGTCTGATCCCAAACTAGGCAGAGCCTGTGCTATGGTGACCAGACTGTTGATAAACATACTTATATATTTTTAAATACATACATATTATAGATAAATTACACCCAGACACAGAACAAATGATCATGTTCATCACACAATATTTGGGTGGGAATCGAACCCACGACCTCCGGCTTAGCAGTCAGGGGCACTAACCACTCGACCAACGGGCCCGTCAAAAAAAAAATTGTAACCGTTCGAGGGCCTCATCAGAGAAGCAGGTGTCTGCCACGAACTGCAGCAGGTCATCCTTGGACAGCTTGTTGAAGTAGCTCGCGCACTGCCGGTACTGCTGCATCCACTTCTTGCTCGGAGCGTTCAGCGGCACCTGTCGAACGATCCATATTTACATTTTTTCATATCAAAACGCATTTCCGCAGTGTTATTTTTTCAAGTCATAATAATTATATCTATTATAATAACATTATTAGGTATTGGTGAAATTTTACATGTGTCATAGTGGTAATATAATACAATAAAATCAGGCCAGGTGGAGTGACGATTTGCGCAAGATGGCTGGCAGGAGCTGGATGCGAGAAGCCCAAAATCGATCTAAGTGGCGTGCAACAGGAGAGGCCTATGTCGAGCAGTGGACTGCGATAGACTGATGATGATGATAGTGGTAATCGTAAAAGATTTTGCAAAAATCGAACAATGATAATATTTAAGTTTTTTAAGTATTTGAAGTATTATTTCTATAAACCCCCATCAAACCGATCGAATCGTGAATCTAATCTAGTCTAGATTAGATTCACGATTCGATCGGTTTGATGGCGGTTTATAGAAATAATAGTTTTTTTTTTACCAGTTTTACTTTTTTTAAATTTATTATATTTATCACTAAAGATAAAAACCTAAGTTAAAGTGTCGGGTAGAACAACATTGACAGGTTCCACTAGTAAACTCAAACTCGAACTCTCTTTATTTCATAAAAAAATTAAAATTGATCGAAATCTTCTTTTATGTAGACTCTAAAGTCATAGATCGACACACACAAAAGTAACAATCTCTGTTTTGTCAAATAGTAAGCAAATAAATTTAACAAAAATCAAACCCATACAAAATCTATGATATGCGTGTGCCTATCTACAACCGCCCGTTTCCAAGGGGTTGAGCCTTATGAGAAGAAAGGGCAAACAAACTCATGGCCACTCTTTTGCCATTCACAGGTAGATACAATGGCATTTTTAAATATACCACAACATTGTTTTGATGTGTGCTAGTATGTCCGTTATTAAGGACTAAAAGGTAAAAAGACAATGAAGAGAAAACAAGATTAAGAAAAAAAGTAGGTAAATAGGTTGTCTAGTACCCATAGTACAAGCTCTGCTTAGTTTGGCTACTACTTACTAGATGGCGTTGTGTGAATGTGGTACAATATTATTTAGGTTGATAGACGGTAGGTAGGAAAAAACGTTACTTACGCTAAAGAAATGTTTCTTGAGCCATTTAGTGTATAAACAGTTGACAGACACCGGCAGCTTGAAGATGGGCGGCAGGCTGCGCAGAAACTTGGTCACTATGCCCACATTCTCTGCCTTTATGATGTTCAGGATGTGGGAAGTGAACTGTTCTGCTGACGGCTGTTCTAAGAGCAGCTTGTAATCCAACTCTATAAATAAAAAGAGTTGAGGTAAGGCTTTTTGGGGTTATTTAGACCTTACAAATACGTTTTTAATTTAAATTAGTATCTATACAAATAAATAAAATTGAAGTGTCTGTTTGTAAAGTCCAAATAATAGGTTTTTTTTATGCTCACACGGTTATTTGCACGATACCTATGCTTAAAAACCAGTTTAAATATATTTTTCTGTCTATCTCTTGGTTCCGGGTTATCTTCAAAACGGCTGGACCGATGTAGATAATATTTTACTACCAGGTAGCTGTCTATATAAGGAGTAACTTAGGCTATTTTTTCTCTCAGAAAACCCTATAAAATTTTGCCCGTTCCGGGAATCGACCAAGGGTATGTTCCTCCAGAACATAGGTATTGTTTTCGTGATATGGATCTTTTTTTTGCGTTTATTCGTTAAATAGTGAGTATATATTATAGACAGATAGGTCTAATACAATATTTATACAGCGTCCGTGGTGGATATTCGACACCTACGAAGATATGTGGGAGAGCGAGAAGTATATTATAAAGGGGACAATGGATATTAAAAACTTTGTTAAGGATATTTAGAATAGAAAAAGAGTTACCATTTGACGATGCCTTAGCTTTCTTTAACAGTTTGATATGTTCAGCTGGTGTGAGGCCATTGATGGGAGTTTTCTCATCTACACTCTTGAGCAGCGTGAAGTAGATGATCAGAGCGTTGTGCTGGGATCCTCTCAGTTCCGGCCAGAGAACCTCTTTTATACTGTGAAATAGTCCGATTATCTATTTAGGAATATCTATATTTAATATATATATATATATATATATATATATTCCGGAGAGGTCTATGTCCAGAAATGGACTGCAATAGGCTGATGATATTGTTGGTTTGTGTACGGTTCAAAAATTAAAAAAGCTCTGAACCGATTGACCTTAAATTTTTACACGATATAGAACCCTTTTATTTTTTGTTTTGTTACAGCTGGTTAATAATTTTTTTTTTGAATTCCATTATCAATAATTGTCGAACGTATGTAAGGCCAATACTTCAGATCGACAGCACTTATTTGGATGTTAATTTTTGTATCGTATTTGTAGGACAAGGTTTATGTTTTTTTTTAATTGTATGAAAGTAATAAATTTGGATTGAATTTAAGTGAGGAAGTAAGATAGTGTTAGAAATTTGAAAAAAAATTCAAGGTTTCAAAGACATTTGTGTCTTTTGAGTTACAGGTGTCCATGGGCGGTGGTAGTCACTAACCATCAGATGACCTGAATGCTCGTTTGCTCCCTATACCATAAAAAAAGATTCCGACGAATTGAGAACCACCTTCTTTTTTTAAAGTCGGTTAAAAAGAGGTCACTGTCACTACTGAGGTTTGTGTAAGCATTGCGTATATAACTTACAGTAGATTAGTTCGTGGTATACGTACCGCTGAGCTGCTATGGCAGTAGTGGCAGTGTCGGTGGAGGGGGGGAGCGGCGCGAGGGCGCGGGGCGGGTCGGCGGCGAGCGCGATGCTCGCGTGCTGCAGCCACACGTCGAGCGGCTCCACGTTGTACTTCTGCGCCAGCGACACCGCGCGCTCCACGTGCGACGGCTCCAGCGACCTAAGAGACATACCTTGCTGTATTTATTAACACCAGTTAGGATGACTTTCGATGAAAACACAATGAGCTTCAAAGTACAAAAACTAACTATGTGTGACAAGAATAATTATGTAGATAACCGGTTTATTAACGTTAATTAAAAAAGACGAATTAGAAAAGACCTATAAATTCAAACATATATTATCGAGTAATGCGTGCATAAAAATAATATGGATTTGATGTCTAGCAAACCGACTTGGATAGTGTGGTAAGAGTAAACAAGTAAACGATAATTTCAAATAGAAACGTGTCGCCGAAATAGCTCAGTTGGGAGAGCGTTAGACTGAAGATCTAAAGGTCCCCGGTTCAATCCCGGGTTTCGGCAAAATCTTCTTTTTGCAATTTATTCTGATTTTCTCCTAGTCACTTGTTCCATCACAATTTAGGTAAGAACAATTTTCATAGCTATCAAATAAATATTTTTTCCAAATATGTTTTCAAGATGATACTAAATAAATAATATTGCGTAATCTATACATGGAAAGTTCACGATTCTTTAAATATGAGAGCATATCTCTTTTAACAGAGGCGTCAGAATCAAAATTTGACAACATCGCAAAATAGATTGTTTAATGGCCACCTTTATAATACTAGTCTAACATATATATTGATGATGATCTCCTCCCAGATATCCGTCGACGGCGACACCCTGTCACCTTTCAACAGCTCCGTTTACGTTTATGCGCCCGTACGTGACTCGCAAAACCGACTTTGGTTTTAAATACACGGTCACGTGAGGCACAGTGAAGCTCACTACGCGTATTGTAAGTGTAGTTATAGGAGGGCTTAGGACGAGTTTTCCGAAGCTGGCTTTTGAACAACTTTCCGCCACTCCGTTCTGTTTTTAGCCAGCTCCTCCCACACCTTTGGGGACAAGGTGATGACTGTTAAATGGCGCCAGCGCATATATATTATTTATTTATTAATTTTATGCACATAAGTACAATGGCGGACTTAATGCTATAGGCATTCTCTACCAGTCTACCCTTTGGTTGAGAATTATAGTGGACATAAAAGAAGTAATGATAGCAATACTGAGCAAAAAGCAATGAAATAATATAAAAATACCAACGTATACATACATTCCTATTCATATATATTGTGTTATATATATACATATACATATATACAATAATATATAAAATAAATATTATACAGTTGTCAACTGACCTGGCGACTCTGTAAATGATCTCGCGGCGATAGTCCTCATCAGCGTTGAACAGCAGCCCGTTGACGGTGTAGCCGAGCGATCGCAGCGCCTCCACCTCGCTCATGCCCGTGAGTCGCTCGATACATTGCCGGATCATGCTCAGCTGTTCCGCCGAAGCGTTCTTCTGCTTCAGAGTCATACGGGCCAACTGTGGATATAAATGTTTTGTAATTTTTTTGTACTTTTGAAAAAATATAGTTAAATTATGTCAGTCTTATTATATGCATGTAAATTATGACTGTAATTAAATCGGTCATCATCATCAACAGCCTTTAATATACTCGTAATAGTCCACTGCTGGACATAAGCTTCTCCTTGGAAAGGAGGTTTTGGCCTACTATGGTACTACTACTACGCTGGCCAGACGGGTTGGTATAGGATACTAGCCACTAGATCGATAGGCCAGCTTATATAATAACAAATAATATAATATTTTTGGACATCTGACACAAGACGCCATCTAGTTTCAAACTAAGCAGAGTTTGTACTATGAAAGCTAGGATCGACTGATAGAATACTTTTTTTTGTAAATACATAGAACTCCGAAACAAATATTCGGTCCGACCGACGTAGTCGTATACGCTACAGCCGCAGCACCTCAGCGGCTACGTACGCAACGTACCACGAGGGGCTCGGTGAAGTAGACGTCGTCGCGCAGGGAGGCGGCGTTGCAGTACAGCAGCGTGGCGTACAGCGCCGCGCTCACGGGCGCGTCGGCGTGCGCGCGCCCCGCCCCCGCCCCGCGCCGCGCGCCCCGCACCAGGCACGCCACGCTCAGCGCCGTGTCCGCGTACACCAGCTCCTCCGCGCACCGCCCCACCACTGACACAACGACCTTCTATATTTGCAGCCGTAATCAAGTGAAAACTTCTTTGAAGTGAAAACAAACAAAAGAATATATTTTATGGTAAAAACAAATTGAACTCGCGGCACTGTTACCGTTACCGACACCTCTGTATATAAGTATATATAAGTTTTCACTTTTTTCACTTCTGTCGGCACTCCCGGAATGCCACTACTTTATTTTTATGATCGACCGAAATCATTATTAAACATTTTCTAAAATATAATACTGTTCTAAATACAGAATTTTGATGAAATGGAAGATAATTTTTTTTTTCTGATTACCCTCTCATTCTCTTTTATCTCAGAATAACAAAAAGACACCTCTCACCAACGAGCTTTATAAAGCTTCATGAAACTCCAGACTAAATTATTTATACATCGATTTCAAAATGAAAAATAAGATATTTAAAATTTATACTTAATCGAACATACATTTTATAAAAATCTTGAAAATAGTTACCTTTGAGATATGATATTTCATAGTAAAATCTATCAGCAATAATGGCAACTACAACCTCCTAAAGAATCTAGGTCGACTTATCAAGTAAGCCAGTATATACGATACTTAACAAAAATTTGAAATAACACGCTAGCTCTGTTTTTGAAAATGAAATCATTTTGTATCATATACTGATTCACTTATACGTATATACTTTCATGCCCATAAAAGTCGAAATCAATCTCAAAGAAAAAATCTGAACAAGAGTCAGATTCGCCCACTGAAGGTTCCATACACATTTGTAGGTACATATAAGAAGCAGTTCAGGAATCGAAGTTCGCAGGTTTCTGTCGTTACTTATATTATTGAGATTTAAGGAAATGGTACCTCGATGATTGATTGCGTACTTTAAATAAATACTATAATTTCATGGTTTATTTATAAATGTGTAGAGTTTTCTCTTTACTTGTAATATAAAACGAAGTTACTTGCCAAATTCCAGAGTTTTCCAGAGGTTAAGGAAATACCCTTTTTTTTCTTTTTTTTTCCGTGCGGAAATCCCCACGTGGTGGCATGTCGGACTCGAACCGACTAAAACCGCACGCCGTCTCGGGTACTAATAGCCGGGGAACCAGGTATACCCTAGAAAGGAAGTCCCTGGTGCAGGTTAAGGAAGTACCCTATGAATTGATTTCCTTGAGATTGTCGAGATATATGCGTTTTTGTGGCATAAACGGCCGTATCTTTTTTTAATGTTAACTTAGGAGTTTGATTATTTTACAGCTTTAAGGGTCCGTAGAGGTGACGAGTTGAAATTAAAACCATATACTCAAGGTATGTGGTTTTAATTTCAATTCGACACCTCCAAGCGTTCCCGATATAAAGGTCTTGACAGACAGACAGAAAGACGAACAACAAAGTGATCCTATAAGGGTTCCGTTTTTGAACTTTTGAGGTACCGAACCCTAAAAACGGTTAAAGTATCCAAAGGTTCTGCATAAAATTAAAAAAGTATACCTTCCGTTTCTAACTCAGCGGTGGAGCCGTTATCCAAAGAGTTCTGTATGTAGAACCACTTGAGCACGTTGTACCCGACGGCGTGCTGGGCGAGCGCGTCGGGGATGGAGAAGCGGTCGTAGCGGTAGTACGCGCCCGACGCGCTCAGCTCCGGGTACAGGCTGTGGTAGAACTCCTGGCACTGCACCGTGCGCTCAGTGGCCGCGGTCGACAACGCTTTGTTGTCGCTGTTCACAACCATTATTATTCATTTTTAATCCTTACGAATAATAATAACTGCGCACATCTCACACTGTACTAATTTAACCAGACTTCTGATAGACATACTTATCAATTTCAAAAAAACATACATACGAAAGGTAAACGACTGCACGGATGGCGTAGTGGTTTAAGCGGTCGCCACGCCGCTTCCTACTGCGCCGAGTGTTGTGGGTTCAAACCCCACATGGGACGAAACTTTGTGTGATCCACAAATTGTTGTTCTAAGTCTAGGTGTTCTTTGTGTCCGTTTCATGTATGTATGTTTTATAAAAAAAAAAAAAAAATACCCCCAGACAGAACGTATGAACGTGCTCATCACAAATTATTTGCCCTGGGTAGAAATCTTACCAACGATATCTGACTCAGCAGTCAGGGTTACTTAGGATCGCCAACCACTGGACCGACGGGCCAATCACAAAGGATAACATTTCTAAGAACCGTCAGGCAGACAGCCGATAGTAAAAGCCAACCGCAACCCTAACCGAATCTTGTATATTGCACCAACTCCAGTGTACGTAGAAACCTAGTGTTGCCTGGAAACATCCGATAGTTCTTTAAAGACAACTCCCGCAATAGGTAAACATCCTTCCGCACCCGTCGGGGTAACATTACACACATACATGAAACGGGACGCAAGGAACACCCAGACTCAGAACAATAATTTGTGAATCACACAAAGTATTGTCCCATGTGGGAATGGTACCCACAACAAGCAGCGGTAGCCTGGTGGTTAAGGTATTGGACTCGCGATCAAGAGGTCGTGGGTTCGAATCCTGACCAGTACACTACCGACGTGGAGAGGTTAACGGGAATACTAGTAATTTCGGTTTCTGGTAAACCATTAAAAAAAACAGCGCTGTGGGAAACGGCGAGGTGATAAATTAAACTACTACAGCATCCGTGCATTTAAAAGATAAACATATTTATTATAGCATTGCGTGAATATAGTTATAATGTAATGTACGACTGTGACTTAATGTGTAGCCATAACTTACCTCAGAGTAAATTTATTTTGGAATGTGTCAAGTAAATAGTTGAACAGTGGAATTTTCTTCTCTGGCTGTGTTGGTGCGACGAGGTCTTTCTTCTCTATTACAGGCTGAAACAATAATATAATATCGTCCTAGAATATAAAATTAAATTACTTAATAATAATTATTTTTTGTTAAATTACTTAGATTATTAGAAAAAATAATATGTTATGTTGGTATTTCGCCGCCTATCTTTACTAATATTAGAAATGTGATGGATGGGTTGGATAGAAGGATTAATGGATGGATAGATGGGTGGATGGAAGGATGGATGGATGGATGGATGGATAGATGGGTGGATGGATAGATGGGTGGATGGATAGATGGGTGGATGGATAGATGGGTGGATGGATGGATGGATGGATGGATAGATGAGTGGATGGATGGATGGACAGATAGATTGATGTTTGTTTGTTAATCAATCACGCCAGAGTGGCTGAACGAAATTAGATGAAATATGGTCTGGAGATAGATCATCGTCTGGAATAAATCATAAGACTACTATTTATACCGTTTTTTTTTACAATATAGACATTACGAGCAAAGCCATACGTGAAAGCTAATCTTAGTTAAGATGCGATTTCTCTGTTACGCTTTCAAGCCTAAACTACTTAACTTTTCATCACTGAAATCATTGAATTAACTTTGTTAGGAGTACAGAAAATAATTAGGACTTAAGTCGTAATTAAATTAGCTGTATAATAAATTAAAATTTAGTCTTACGATTACACAAATAATGTAAACAAATTAAGTGTACCGTGGTGATAGCGTCAGCAAATTCATCATCAGTAGAAGGCCACCGTTCGGTGAGATGGCTGTTCTCTTTTAGCGTCACTCCCATCTGCTGCAAACCTTCCAGTTCTAAACCGAGTCTGTGCATAACAAATATTTGAGGGTTTATTACACTAATGACTTACAGTACTAAAAGATTATTTATATTAAAAGAATTTTTATTTTTTATTAAATATATATGGCGCAAAGAAGCATATTATATTAGAAATAATAAGTATTTTTTATTTTATTAAACAATATGTGCTATAAATTTCAAAATTATTTAAAAAACGTCTGTTGGGGTCATCCTATCGTTAACAACCACAAGTAGTGGTTGTAGGTAAATAGTTCCCACCAAAACAGTTTGAAGAAAGAGTTAATTTTATTACTGAATAAAAGTTAGGTTATGTTTAGTATTCTGAGTCGCACGTAATGTTATAAAATATTGACACAAGCACGCGTGTCGGAGTTGTTGTTACGACTGAATAAAATAATATTGTGTATTAAGAAATAAATTAAAATAGTTGTATGAGAGCACTATGGGCACGTATAACGCCTTCATAATTTTTTGTGGTATATGTTGTGTTCTGGTCACGGTATAAACGTCTATTCAATGACAGTTCTAGTTATGCTGGTGAATAAAATAAACAAGAAATTTGAATTCCAAGTGAACAATAGTTATATTTTAGTCACAATTACGATCAGTAGTAGGTTCAGTTACGATTTTATTATATAGATCGATTTATCATTTCGAGAATATTATTTTGAGACTTACACAGTTTACACGTTTAAGCGGAACGTTTCATTCCAGGAGTTCGGACCTAAACGTAACGAGGCTCGGGTCGGTAACCAGTCCTCGCAATACACACGTTTGTGAGACGTATATATTGAAGTAGAAGGAAAAGTACCTAGCTTTGAGCATTCGTTCGATGCGCGTGGGGTCGCAGTAGGTGAGCGCGGCGGCGTAGAGGTGTCGGCGCGTGGCGCGGTCGGCGTGCGCGTGCGCCGCGTGCGCCACGTCGGCCAGCAGCGGCGCGGCCGGCGCGTACCGCAGCTCCGCCACGCGCAGCGCCACCTCCGCCGCCGCCGCGCTGCCCGCCGCGCCCGCCGCCAACGCGTACGCGCCCACCAGCGACAGCACCATCCCCTCCCTGCAACCGCCGCCGAGCTGTAGCGTGCCGTCTTTGACTGTTACGTGACTATAGCCCATTCGAGTTAAGAAAATAGTGACGCTCGATCGAACTCGATGCGGCCTAGAAATTATCGTGTCATACGAAAGCTTGGACCTGATCGATCAGAGTGCGGAGTTCGATCGATGCGCCACTATCTTCTTAACGCGAATGATCCTAAGCTAGTTAGCACCTGGTGTTAATTGAAAGCGAAGATACGAGTTCTACTCACATATGACACAGCAGAATCGCAACAGTTTTATACTATATACAGGATGCGACGTAAATAATCTATAAACCGGTGCTTGCCGATGCTAAACATAAATATGCAGATGCGAATTAAACATTATCAAGAACAACTACTTTATAAATATATCAAAGTATTTATAGATCGATCAATTATCTTCTTATTATCTTTAAATAAGATAACTCCCGCACTAGGAATACATAATCCTGTGTCGCGAGGGACTTTACCAACATACATGAAACGAACACAAAGAACACACAGACTCAGAACGACAATTTGTTAATCACACAAAGTGTCGTCCCATGTGGGATCGAACCCACAACACTCGGCGTGGTAAGAAGAGGCATGGCGACCGCTTAAACCACAACGCCATCAGCGCATCAGTTGATACGGTATGAATATAAATATTGTTACCTATGGCGTTCGTCGTCCCCGGCGACTCTCAACAAGGCCGCCAACTTGAGCAGCTTGTGACTCGCCAGGTAAGCGATGGGATCTAACTTCAAACACTCTTCTATTATACTCATCTTATTTTCGCACAGACGCACTGAAAACACAAATATTTAATTAAATACCTACTTAAAACTACATATTGGTTCAATGTCAATTGGTATTTATATTAGATTATAATAATATACTTTTACATACAAAAGATAAGTTAGCAATTACAATCGTCACTAAGTTTTTTTTTTTTTTTGAAGTGAAATCTTCTTTAGGCGCGTTGGGCATTTTTAAACAACAAAAAAAATAATGTATTTTTTTAAATGGGAAAACCATTGAACTCGCGACACTGTTACCGTTACCAACACCTCTGTATTATATACAGAGGTGTTGGTAACGGTAACCCAAACTCAACTCTGTTTGAGTTGAGTTTGGGTTGAAATACACATCATCATCTTAATCACATCAACAGCCTTAGGCCTCTCCCTAGAAAGGAGGTTTTGTAAGTCACACTTTTATCACAGGGGTTGAAATACATTGATAACAATATATAATATACACATATATTATGTATATACGTACAACATAGATATATTCATATAAAAAAAAACAATTTTTCACTTCTGTCCGCATTCCCGGAGTGCCTTTGATTTTTTATTAAAAGAACAGTCAGTACCATTGCGTCATTAAAGGATAAAAAAGCTGACAGTTAGTACTATATCATCATCAACAGCCATTAATAGTCCACTGCTGGACATAGGCCTCTCTTAGAAAGGAGGTTTTGGCCTACTATACCACGCTGGCCAGACGAGTTGTTATAGGGTTTGTGTCATCCTGCGTTATTAAGGTATAAACAATGAAAACTAAGAATCCCGAAAGTGAAATGACTCCTTAATTGCTTGCTTAGATACTTACATTCACCACATAAATGTATAATAATGTTATTAAATAGCCATAAAATAAAATCAATTCCGAAAATGTACAATTTTAACTGTAGTTGACAAAATTTTATTAATTTTCTTTTTTATGGTAGAGGTGGCAAACAAGCAAACGGGTCACCTAATGGAAAGTGACTACCTGAACTACATGAACACCTGCAACTCAGAAGTCAATCTGGTTCTAATTGTTCTAACCCTATCTGCAATAAATGCCATATTTAAATGAACTATGAAAAAACATAACGCTTACCTTGGATAGGAAGAAGAGACAAACCAAACGCAGCTAATATTTGTAACGCATTTATTAAATCCAATTCCAGTTGTATTTCTAAGTTGCCATCTTTAATTAATGTTAGGCAGCATCTGTAAAATATTATCTGTTATCACTTGGAGTATAGCAACACCTCACTTCTAAAGGATTAGTTTGTATCTTTAGAGATTTTATATAAAAATTTGGGGACTATATACAACGGTAAATATTATCTATGTACGAGTTGGTACATGATGTACCTAGTCAAAATAAATCAGGTTTAGGGTTAACTACAATACACAATTTTTTTATTTATTTTTTAAAGACAACTCCCGCATTAGGAATAAATCCTGTGTCGCGGGGGACTTTACAAACATACATGAAACGGACACAACGAACACCCAGACTCAGAACAACAATTTGTGGATCACACAAAGTGTCGTCCCATGTGGAGTTTGAACCCACAACACTCGGCGTAATAGGAAGCGGCGTGCCGACCGCTTAAACCACTACGCCATCCGTGCAGTCAAACTAGTAACTAAATTTTCTTTCCAAAGTTCATCTGTAACTTACAAAACTTTTACTGATCCACCACCACCTATCTAATGTCTTTGTTTATTTTACTAATTCTATAAAAATCATCGTCAATATAAATTTGAATTATAAAAAGAATCTGAAAATAAATTTTGTTGCCGAAAAAAATCTGGTTAATACTTTAGATTTTTTTTTTCTTCGCTCGACTGGTCGGAGTTTTACTAGCGCCAACATTGGACGGCTTCAGCCCATGAGTCACAAGTCTTTCTTCCGTCCTTTAAGGGCCCCTCGTCGAATATTTGAGAAATAGTTGAATGAGTCCTGAATGTTCCATTATGTTCTAGAAGTTTCCAGGGAGGTGTTGAATCAATCTTAACTATTTTATACTTAGACTAGTATATTTACGTCCAGATTGAGCTGGGATTTCTAAACTCATTATTAGTTGCATATTAAAGACGGTTATATATATTTAATAAGAATCCTATTCTGTTAATATAATGTTAAAAACGTTTAGTAAACAAGATCTTACTTAGCTAATTCCAAAGCAGGATCATTTAGAGAGCTGGCCGAGTTGAAGTACTCCTTAGCGGCGTTGGAGACTATTTGAACGCTGCGAGCATAGTTCACCATCTGCGAGTTCCGTGGCCGACCATCTGACGTACAGGTCAACACATCACCTGCTAACCTGATGCTGGCAGCGTCACCGGACGTCAGTAGCGAAGAGGCGTAAATCTAACAGAAACCAAATACATACATATATGCGTACAGCATCTTAAAAGCGACCACGACTTAAAGCTACTGCACTTATAGTCCCGTTACCCTATCCAAAAGTTACAGTATCCCTGAACCTACCTCCCTCGTCCTATCCATTTGCCTTCTTAAAATATGCTTTCCTCCTTTGTCCCGTCTGAAAATGATTATATTCCTAAGGCAGGTAGTAAAACCACTTAAAATCCATTGCAATGTTAATCATTGGAAAAAAAGCATAATATAATAATATATCTCATACATCTCACACACGAACGTCTGATCCCAAACAAGGCAGAGTCTGTACTATAGTAACCAGACTACTGATAAACATACTTATATATTTTTAAATACATACATATTATAGATTAATTACACTCAAACACAGAACAGAAAGAGAACGATGAGGAGTTAACTAAAAATATGACTTACCTCATAACACTCTTGTTTAGTAACGCAGGTAAATATAGTACATTGCAGTTCAAGCATGTCTTTTAGCAGTCTGTCCCAATCTTGCGGAGTTGGTCGCTCCTCCCTAAAATCAAAATGGATCGGATATAAAAACTATTATTAATATTATAAATGCGAAAGAAAATCTGCCTATCCGTTAGGTCAACACGCTCAGACTGCTAAACTAATGTTGGTAAATATTGTCCTAGAGATACTTGAGAGACGACTTGGAAGTGGGCTACATGTGTTTCACGCGAAAATAACCCTTAAAGCTAAAAGGGGATGAATGTATGTATAGGAGAAGTGCATAATCTTAGATAAACGGAAACCCTATAGGGGTTGTTTTATCTACGAAATGGTCAAAGTCGTTCAAATTAAGACTTACGTGGTTGTTGATTTAGAAACTAACGATTTTAAAGCTTAATAGGACCATAGACTTAGTAGTTCAACTTTAGACCGACAAAGATGGTCTTTACAGACAGACAACAAAATGATATTTTAAGGTTTAGATTTTTCCTTTCGAGGAACGGAACCAAAAGAATAAATAAATAATAATAATATAAATAATAATATTCTACTACATTCACACAACGCCATCTAGTCCCAAACTAAGCAGAGCTTGTACTATGGGTACTAGACAACTGATATAAATACATATATACTTTTTTTTTTGTAAATACATACATATTATACATAGAAATACCCAGACCAAATCAAACATTAAATGTTCATGCACACAAATGCTTGACTTGAGCGGGAATCGAACCCGCGACCTTTGGAATAGCAGTCCGTTACACAAACCACTTCGCCATCCCGTCGTCATAGAATAGAATAGAATATTGACAAGTTACCCGATAGCGAGACTCCTTGCGAGTTTGGTGAGAATATTGTACACAGGCTTGTGCTCATGGCTAAGGTCTCTGAGATCCCGCGGCGGCACCTTGACACCGCGCCACGAGAGCCGGCTGCTGGCTGCCACGAGACGCTCTATTTTCTTCACCCGACGTACTAGTTCGTTATTGCTTATGCTGTTGTCCCTGTTCAACGACATTATCATGAGGAATAGAAGGTATCAAGTACACAGACCACCTGATGGTAGGCGGTTCAACATCATCATCATCATCTCAGCCGAAAAGCCGAAGGCTCTCCACAACAATCGGTACCGCACCTTAATTAGACTTGAAGATTAGCATCCGTGTTGCAAACCTATACGAAAACTTAATTTAAAATAACAGACGTGTGCTGCAGCACTCGATAGTAAGTGACTAGCATCACCAAAGAACACCTGCAATTCAGCTACACAAGTATTGCCGTTCTTTGAATGCTCAAGGGAACCTCACTCACTCCAAGAAATAATTGCTCAACACCGGTTCTTTTTTAAGTGTGTGGTATCACTCCTGTCGAGCAGGTCCTGCTGAAGCATGACTCCCACAGTAAGGAGGTTTAGGAGTATATCAGTGTTACTATTGTAATGTTATACGTACGCTTCTTTTAGTATAGTGTCGAGCAAATCGCACGCCATATCCAGTTGGTCAGTGCTCGTGTGCGCGAACAGACACCGCTCCACCAGCTCCAAATGCGTTCGGAGATCTATCTCGAAGTCTTTGGGAGATTGTAGTAGCTGCGTATTTTAGAACCTATGTTTATTTATTCTACGACTATGCAAACGTTTTGTATCACGGTATACGTTAAGGTGGTTCTACGCTAGACGAGCCGATCACGAACAGACCACGAGCCTAGTATAAATTCAGACTCAGACTGGCTTACAAGCTTCGAACGAGCACGTTTCGAGCATTTGGTTCGTGCTCGACCACGCTCAGCGATTGTCGGTTTTTGACGAACACAAAGGGATTTGCATCGAGCTCGCAGTGCGCTCTTGGACGTGTCGAGTGACAGACGTTTCGCTCGAGCACCATGGAAACGTGGACAGAACATGTATGTTTTCAATTAATTGAATTAAAACATGAGGATTACTATAAATAGAACAAAAAGATTGATGCAAAGTGTCGTCGAAGCTGCTGCTGCTGCAACACTCCTCCATATTCGCCAAGAGCCGCGAGCACACTGCGGAAAACTACGTTTGAGGCAAGTGATCGTTATAAGTCCCTATTTGACGTCGCGAACAGGCCCCTCTTTCCCACTGGGCACTCTGGGCACGTGTCCAGGGCCCCTCGATCGATAGGGGCCCGATTCCTGCCAGATCACCAATCGAAAATCAATATTTATCACCAAAAAACATAGTTATTTTGAAAAATGCATTTGTAATGACTAACTGCATTACTTTTTGTTTCTTTTCTAACAAAACAGTGATCAGCTAAGTTCGTAGAGGCCCCATTAAGCTAATTTGTCCAGGGCCTCCAATAGGTTAGAGACGGGCCTGGTCGCGAACGACAACGCCCAGAACAGCTCCGGTCGTGCTCGGCTCACCTAGCGTAGACCCACCTTTAGAACATTATACTCGTATATGAAAAAGTACGATCTTGGAAACTGTTAGAAAAGATAGACCCTTTAAATCAATTACTCCGTTATTTTAACACACCTATTATGTTAAAAAAGGAGGTCAAGTGCGTGTTAGGTTACGCAAAATGTAGGATTCTGTAGTTTATTATTTTACGGGCTATAAATAGGTAACAACTTTATCTACAAAATGTATAATTGAACAAAATTTTCTAAGTAGGAACATTTTCTAAGTTATATAAATTAGCGTTGAGACTCTTCCTTCTAAATCTGCTACATATCACACACACAGTGGCTCACACTCTATATTTTTTTCAGATTCTTCAAGTCCATGACAAAGTATGGAAAATTAACGTAGTAAACGATAAAATATGTGAATGAGGTTATAAGCGACTCACCAATAATATTGAAGACAGGTCATTGATGCTGATGCTCTCTAAATAATCGCCGAGGTGGGTCACGACACAATCCGAAATGTGCTTAATTCCCTCATATCGCTTCAGGAATGGTACCACATACGTCTTTAAGTCCGATACGAAAGTTTCCGGCGTTGACTACAAATACATTTAAAAATGACACCATGATGAATTCTAATACCTTGCACCTACCGACTATTACAAATTTAGACAACTTTTTAGTGGGTAAAAAATTCAATTCCCGAGAGGCAGTACAAAATGCCTTTGAAGAGTTTGTTGCCTGCCGTCCAGCTGATTTTTACAAGAATGCGTCGATTGCATGGGTGATTACTTCGAATAACAGAAATAAAAAAGTTTGAAAAAATAAGTACTTTCACTAATTGCATACCAAATGGCAATTGCATAGGTAAAGACCTAATATATTACACATAGACACAGAGAAAAATTATTATGCTCATCATACAATTTACTTGTCTTGGGTGGGAATCGAACCTACGACCACTGGCTAAGCAGTCGAGATTACTAACCGCTATACCAACAGGCCCGTTAACCGTAATCTACAAGTTTTAAAAGAAGCTCACCTTTTCCATCAGAAGAGTGCATATTGTTAAAGTTGTCATTTTCTCAATTTCATTCAACGAGTATCCTTCTATATTGATGTCATATATGACAGTGTCCAATGTCACCAAGTAGAACATTATGGATGCCAGGCCTTGGATACCTCCCCCCTCCGTCGCGAGAGTGACGAGCGTCAGAGCGTGCGAGACGAGGCCAGTGCGCTCTTCTATCTCTCTCGCTCTCTTTTCATACCATTTCGCTAGATCGTCTATTGTAGCTGGAATAGTGCCAGCTATTTCTATGTCTGGTGTTGAATCTTCTGACCAATTCGAACTCCATATTGATCTAGTGCAAATAATGATACAAACGACAGTGACATATAGTCTAAGATCCGGCTGGAGAATTATAACCCGGCAATATCGTGCGCGACCGTCCCGCGGGGTGACAGACAGTGGCGGGGGCGAGGTAGCGCGTCATTGTAGCACACGGCTACACACGAAGAGAAGCGTTTCCCTTCCCCGCTACACCACCCGCTACCCGCGTACATGTTGAGTACCTCGTCCCCGCCACCGTCTGTCACCCCGCAGGACAGTCGCGCTGACGTTGATGGACTATAGTGCACTTATCGAGTGTTTGCAAAAAACAAATTTTTACGCATATTTATGATTAGGAGAATATATATCTACCAGGTTGCCTGCTATAATATGCCCACTAGTATTTTTAATTAAATTATTGTTAACTGAATTTCGGAAAAAATGTTCACGGTTCGGTTAACTCACGGCATGTCTATACTAATATTATAAAGCTGAAGAGTTTGTTTGTTTGTTTGTTTGTTTGAACGCTAATCTCAGGAACTACTGGTCCGATTTGAAAAATTCTTTCAGTATTAGATAGCCCATTTATCGAAGAAGGCTATAGGCTATATATCATCACGCTAAGACCAATAGGAGCGGAGCACCAATGAAGAATGTTTCAAAAACGGAGAAAATTTATTACTATTGAGAGACGCAGACGAAGTTGCGCGGGTCAGCTAGTTGCTAATAAAGACTGAAAAATCATGGTTGACGTTATGCACTTCGCAGCACCTTTTCGCACTGTAACGTCTGCACGTGTAAACAGGTATGATTTTGATACACCAGCATTCGACGCATGCGCAATGGCTTGGTTTTTAGCAAAACACTTGTGAGTGCACCAATTCTACAGCCGGATCGCACTACGCACTAATATATTAGTTGCTTAATCTTACGAACACACTTATAAATAACATTAAATAGCCTAAAAAATGTACTTGAAAATATCAAAATCAATTCAATATTAACTTTTTCCGAATATTATATTAAAACCTTTTAAAAGATCTTATTTTTAGTACTGTTACGAACCTTCTAGAACTAACGAACCGTAACAATACATAATAATTATTAAATATTGGTTTTCTAACTAAAGCCTGCGAAAGCCACAGGAGCCTCGCGTAGCTAACGTTACCTGCACGCATAAAGGGCTATTTATGAGTATAAACGAGGCAATTAAAGTCCTCTACCAATACCAACTAAAGTCCTAAGAAAAGAAAACCGCAAGGTTAAAAATATCGTAAAATTATGGTGCATGACCACAAAATAAGTAGTTTAGTCGTTACCTGAAGATCTCTTTCCGGCACCAATCACGTTCGGGCTCACAAGGCGGCACCTGGACCGGAGATCTCCCACCATACCATTGGAATTTTTGTTCTGTCGGCAGCAAATGTTGATAATCCAAGGGATTTAAGGTTTCTGGTAAATTCTCCAGTACGGCCAGCTGCAGCGCCTCAGCCTTGATGTGTGGCCAAAGACACGAGAGTGCGTCGATGCGCCCCTCCTTGGCAATTTCTATGGCGCTGTGAACCACGCTGTTGCTTCGGAGACGGTCATATTCTTCTTTTACGTAAGTTGATTTTTCGTATTTTAAGATTAACTGTAATATTTTAAAGGTTTTATTAAAAGAAAAATAAGAATAAGAAGTGTAGCAAATAATAATATAATATATCTCACACATCTCACACACGGCCAACTGATCTCAAACTAGGTAGAGCCTGTACTATGGTAACCAGACTGCTGATAAACATACTTATATATTTCTAAATACATACATATTATAGATATAGTACACCCAGACACAGAACAAATGACCGTGCTCATCACACAATATTTGTCCTGGGTGGGAATCGAACCCACAACCTCCGGTTTGGCAGTCAGGGTCACTAACCACTAGAGCAACAGGCCCCTCAAATTTATTTTCTGTTTAATACTTGAAAATTTTATTTTATTTGGAGTTTGCTTTACGAATGATAGGATGTGAATCACCGAATATATACATATACAGTTGAGAAAGAAAATATACTGAGATTAAAACGGGCTATTCATAGATTAAAACAGTCGTTTTTAGTATAGTATGAAACAGTGAAACATTGTCTTTGTAAATTAGGTTTTAAAAACAGACAATTTGAACCGTGTTTGTTTGCAAAATCTAATGTTAGTCTAAAGGTAATAATTGGTCTGTTGCGTTCTACCAACGTGTTTTAATATTATTATTTGACAGTTACTAATAGAGCCAATTTCCAATAACAAATATACAACAACAGCATCAACTCATCTAAGTGCATATTCTCTTTACTAAGCATGCCAGCAAACAAATTGCGATTAAAAATAGCACTCAGTTCAATATTGAGAACTAAAATAAAGTAGCTAAAGCCTATAATTAGTTGTATTCATTTATATTCAATGCCGATAAACATCAGGCGAGCGCAAACGATAAACAGCTTTAAGAGAATGGTTGAGGAATTTTATAAACTTTGCTTAAGTCAATTACGCGTCAAGGCATGATAAGAACGTTCCTTTTCTTTTTTTTGTCTTTTTTATGTGATAAACTTAACTAGCTATGTATATGAAAGTATATGTATATGTATATATATCGTATGTATATGTGTACGTATATTGTATTTGTGTAAATGTTTATTTAATTTTACCATTGCACCTTCAACTACTTCTGTCTCTCCTAAACATTTTAATCCATCCTAAGGTTGCTTGGAAGAGATTGCTCTTAGCAATAAGGTCGCCCTTTGTACATTACATGTCTGAAATTTGTATGTACCATAATACTTGTGAAAAAGTGCAAGTAAAGAGTTATCTATCTGTCTATTTATATTATAATTACTTCATATAGTTTGAGCCTCTCCTTGTAAAACAGCATGACGTGTCTGCACCGCAGCAGCTCGCTAGTGTACGCGTTCAAATGCTCCAGCGTGATGTCCTCGGTGTCCGTTATTTCATTTTCATCGCGATCTTTGTTGATTTCTATATTTAAAATAACTATTATACTACGAAGAATATTAAGATTTATTTTACGGGGTATTCAGAGGGCGTTATCTAAGAGCCCGTCCGCTAAGTGATATTTCACAACACGTTCTTTTTTCAAATTCTGTGACACATGAGATCTATATAGGAGTATCTGCACTGGCCGAAAAAATCAATAAAATAAAAAATACCATAAAAAATGTATATCCGGATCACAAAAAAAACTTATTTTCTAAAGAAAATATACATCGATTGCAAGTAGTAATTTAGTAGCAGTAAGTATCATATAATAGTATGAGAAATTGTATTCATTACTGTTTTTGAATTTTGTTTAACTAAATAGGGGTTAATTTCTCAATAGTTGGGTATGACGTCATTTGCTTATCGAAATGAACTCCTTACATTTTTATTACTTACATCTATACAAATAAATAAACATGGAGTGTCTGTTTGTAATATTAAAAAAACCGCTTGTTACTAAATGCATTGGTATGTTTAAACGGTACATATGGAAAAATAACATTTTTTTCAATTTTTGACTGTCTGTCTGTCTGTTTGTTCCGGGTAATCTCTGGAACGGCTAGACCGATTTCGACGGGACTTTCACTGGCAGGTAGCTGATGACATAAGGAGTAACTTAGGCTATTTTTTTTAGACTAGCTTCGCCCCGCAGAGTTGCCCGCGGTTATAACAATAAACGCGGGTAACACCGCGGGTCACAGCTAGTAATATATATTTCTACAGACCGCACACTTTTGAAGTTAATGACAAGCTGATTCAACGCAGAAGTCGTATAATAGGAATGACATTTTTAATAAAATGCTACTGACTGCTGATAAACATACTTATATATTTCTAAATACATACATATAATCGATAAATTACACCCAGACACAGAACAAAGGCTCATCACACAATTATTTATCTTGGGTGGGACTCGAACCCACTACCACCGGCTTAACAGTCAGGGTCACCACTAAACCAAAAATAATATCGTTACTTCTCCGTGTGTGTCTTACCGTTCAATATCTTTTCGTTGGTAAGTTCAAGTCCAAACTGCAGCAGTTCTTTAGCGGCCGGTAAAGTCTCTGGCAGTCGGTCAACGCACTGATGTACCGCCCAGATCTTTTTGGATACTTTGCTCTATATTATAGGAAAAATATAACATTAAATTTGCAATAAAATCATTTAACAGACAATTTAGAAGACAACATATTAAAACTTTAAAGACATTAAAAATTAAAACAAATCTTTAAAAAAAAAACTTTATTCGATCATATAAGAATATAATATATAAGAATTTTCTAACCTTATTCTGATAGTAAAAAAAGTTTAAGTGGTCTATTCACTGCTATTCTGCGTTTTAAATATGGAATTTAAAAAAAAGATTTGAATTTCGAACAACAATATGACTTACCAAGTATTTCTTAATAGCTTCTGTGGAGACAGGATTTTTCCGCCACTGCTGTTGGTACACCAGATCACTATCCAGGTTGAATGTCTCAGCTAACGTTAAAGCTTCCTTATAGTTGCCGCTCTCTATCTGTGTATAAACATTAGTTTTTAGCACCGTTGATCGTTTTTCTATATTTCATCAATTAAATTATCGATTTCAGTAAGTCCCATTCTAATCGTCAGGTTTATAGAATTACATTCCAGATATTCCAATACTCTAAACTATTGTAGTGTATTTCAGTACTATATAACGAAGAGACACTGAACTACTAAACCACTAATCCTGATTTAAAAAAAAACAGCGTGAGAGGTCTATGATTGCTTTTTGGTAGACGTTTGCTATACATATGAAGTATGAAAAAGATGTGAGCGTCGACGCGCCAATTGAAATGTCGATAAAAAGTCTTGTTACACATTTTTCGAACTCGCTCCCATCACGAACTTCGTTAAAAACCGTTAAGCCTCGGACCGAACGGCATGATCACCTCGCCTGATGGGAGTATCTTCTCTTTATGTAAGAGGAACATATTACCCATTTCTTCACGCTATTAATAGAACATTTTGAAATTATTTTGAAACTAAAAAAAAAGGAACCTACCTGCGAACTAAGATAAATAAAAAAATTGCTATCGGTGGTTTTACTTAGTTCCCGTTTATAACTCAAATCCCATTTTTAACCATAACTATTACCTTTCTAGAAAACAGTTCGGTGGGCGTAGTGCTCTTTACGCCCAGCAGACGGTACACCCGTGACACTATAGTGATGCGCCGCGGCTTCGGTTGGAACGTCTCTATGTCAGTGATGGCGAACAACACAGACTTTATCAGTTCCTTGGCCAGTTCCAACATCGTGTCTTCCGTGTCTCTTTCTATGTTCACCACTTCCATCTATAGAATAGAACAACACAGGTCACATTGTATTAGGAAAACTTAAAGCTCGAAACTAATGCGTATGTTTGAACTGCTGCTAAGTGCAAAATTCAATAATACAAATAAAAATTTTGGAATACCCCCGACACCAGCATCGACCCATGGTTTGGCTGTAGCATCAGGTCAAGGTTACTACTTCATGGAAATACCACTAAAGTAACAGTACACCTAATTTCAAAAAAGGTGCTGTGAAAGTTGATGAGATCCTTTCATCTTCAGAAATAAGCTGACAATCTTCACAAATTATAGCTAAGAACCATATCGATCACGTCAGCTTTCAAACAAAAAATTGCACCATAAGCGGTCTATTTGTTTAGGAGCTACGATGCCACAAACAGACACGGCAAAGTGATAAAACCTCTCCTTTACGTAGGGGGGTTAAAACGTCGGGCACGCCGTTATTGCGGCGGTAAGACCCGTTATGAAGGATTGGTTTGAGAGGCGTCACGGAACCCTTTAATACCGGCTGACGCAGGTGATCACCGGGAAAGGTGGTTTCGGAGATCCCCTGTGTCCGATCCGCAAGGAGCCAACGCCTGAGTGCCACCACTGCGATGGTGGGCCGTGGACGCGGCCTCCACAAATTGGCAGAATGCTACTTATAGTTTGAATATTATAGGCCTGATTCAAACCACAACAAAAAATTTAAAAGTTACCCGGCAAATGGGCAATTCGAGGAGAACAAAATATAAAAAGGGTTTTAAATGAACATTGTTGCTTTCTACACTTTTCCTACATATAAACTGTAAGCATTCCAATTAATATCCTTTTGTAAGGGATATTTGCGTAAAAAGTGGTACAAGAATTAAATTCATGTATGCATATCACAGATATAGTAGGCCAAAACCTCCTTTCTAAGGAGAGGCCTATGTCCAGCATTGGGCTATTAAAGGCTGTTGATGATATCACAGATAGAAACAGATATAGACCATGATATTAAAAAGATTATAATTCATAAGATATAATATACTTACACTCTCATCGCTACTCGATTTTGTAGCTGGCAACACATTGGACTCACATTCCAGCACCATAAAAGTACCGTCGTGGGCACACGTTATCTGGCAACATTCAAATTTAGATCAAGACTAATTCATTTATTCAAAACAGGCAAATATATTATTTTACTAATATTGATTTAACATTCATTGTGATTCCTTAACAATACATCCTGACAGTACACCCTAATAAATATACAAAAAAAATACTGAAAAATATAAAAAAAAAACTCTTTTTAATATGCCTGTAAATATACGAACATGTTAACTAATAAATAAAAAAGTTGCTTATTTACGAAAATTGTGACATTACTTTATGTAATTAATTTATGTAATGTGTAGGTACGGTATATGTTAAGTAAACTAAGCAACACAACAGCAGTGAAGAAGAGAAGGAAAACTTGATACAAACCCGTCGGGCCAACGTGGTATAGTAGGCCAAAACCCCCTTTCTAAGGAGAGGCTTATGTCCTACAGTGGACTATTAAAGGCTGTTGATGATGATGATGATGATATGTTTTATGAACATTACTTAGTATTAAATATTCCGACATTGTATTCACTTAAAAATAATACATATTTTAAATTTTACTGACGAGTATGTTATAATTTTTAATCTGTCGACTAGGACAGTAGAAAGTTCTTAAAAGTACAATATAAGTTATGAAATATTTTTTTGAACCTTCTTAATCTAGTTACCTATCTAGTTCTTAATTTACCTAGTTTTATAACCTTTAATTTTTTTTTCCTTTATATTTACCATAAATATTGTGTGTTTTTAGATCTAACGAATTTTTATAATGAAAATAAAATAAATATCCTGTATTATTTTATTTTTTTTAAAAGAAGGGGGGTGTAGTGTAGTAATACATATATAATACGTATGTCTATCTTAAGATAAAAGTAGTGATCACTATTGTATTTACTGGAGAATAAATCTGATCGTTGATCTAACAACATCTTTAATTTCTCTCTCGACACCCAACCTTACAACGATACGACATCTATGACAAGACTGCTATTGGTAGTTACCTAAAATGTGAGTACATAGTGGTACTACAAATTACATAAATATCTTCTAAACTAATTTCGATACAAACCTGTGGCGACCCTTGAAAGAATTCCGGTTTCTTGCCGAGTATATTAGCCATGTTCTCTATATCACATACGGAAACAGCACCGCTGAATCGCGATAGTATTATCTCCTGTAAATAAAGAGTTTTATAATAAACTTCTGGTCCGTGTAGTAATGGATTAAGAATACGAAGTGTCACCACCTCTGTTCATCCTGTGGGTGGCGTAAGAGTTGAATAAGGGAGCAAGACGCAGGACAACAGCACTGCAAAGAGAAGGAAAATTTGAAACAAACCCTATACCGACCATTCTGTGTCTGCCAGCATGGTATAGTAGGCCAAAACCTCCTTTCTAAGCAGAGGCCTACGTCCAGCAGTGGACTCTTACAGGCTGTTGATGTGTGATGATGTGATGTGAATAAACTTCTAACCGTAGGAGAGCCATGCCAGCTTGGCTCGACCCGAAAACCGGTGTTAAGCTATGTTTTCACCGAGTGAGTGAGATACCGTACTGGGTGTACGGTCCGCTACCCTTATTCAGAGGGGAGTCACTCAAAGGTGTCACACGTGGTGATTCTTGACTTGCAGGAGTCTATGGGCTACGGCACTCACCATCTGGTGAACCGTCTGCTCGTTTCCCACTCTACCCCATAAAACTAGGCAACATTTATTAATTTAAATTGGACTGAGCGTAGTGGTTTAAGCGGTCACCTCGCCGCTTTCTACTGCGCTTCTCGTGTTGTGGGTTCGATCCCCGCATGGAACAACACTTTGTGTAATTTGGGTTTGTAAAGTCCCCCGCGACACAGGAATATAATCTTAATGCGGGAGTTAAGGAAATTAAGGATGACTATAAATACCATCTAAGAAAAAAACAGTAAATAAAAAACAGTGTATGTATCTTACATCATTTGTCCACCAGTTAACATCCGCCGGATAGAACACACTCAAATCTTTCTTTCCTGGTTTCTCGTCAATCACTAGAGGGTTCCTTAGGTCGTGCTCTGGCTGCATGGCCAATGGCCAGCGGTACAACAACTTCAGTACAGGAAGCCGCCACACTGATACGTCGCCGTTGCAGTGAAGGCACACGAGCCTTGAACCATCGGGCGAGAGCTCCATTTGAACTATGAAAGCCTAAAATATAACCAATAATGATAATAATGATAAAGACGTTGGAAGGCTGACTATAATGTATCACTTCGTAAAAAAAGATTTATTATGACTTCAGTTCGGTAGGTGTACAATTCCTGTCTTTCTCAACTCATACCCCCTTTTGGCTCAAACAGAAGTAAATTTTTATTTGGAAAGCGACACTCAGTTTATATACAGATCATTTTAAAAGTCCAGTTGTCCTGTGGTTAAACCACTGAATTTTGTAAATGTATATTTAAAATATGAACGCAATACGTTCATATTTTGCAAATCATCTAAGAATAACATACAATACACGTACACGTATTGGACAAATTTGTAATAAGGGTAGACCCACCCTGTATGTATTTAACTTTTTTCTGCTGATCAAAGTCTAGTAAACTTACCATATTCTTGGAGTATCCAAATGGAAAATAGAAGTTGAATCTGTCATTCGCGAGTTGTGATTCTAGCTCGTCCGACACCACGGATAATTTATAGAAAGGCTCATCGTTTACTATACGCCATGCTGTGATGCCAGCGGTCAGGGGTGAACTCGGATCCTGAAAAAAAAGAAGTTTATATTATTAGCTTTAGTAGTAATAGTAGTAGATTTAGTAGATATTATTTCGTTTCTATTTATTATTATTGTCTCGTTAAAAACTTAATTTCTAATGCACCTGACATTTCCCCGAGATGATGTTTGTGGAATTAAGTCCCCATGTTACAACTACCTATAGTTAAACCGCCGTAAGCTTGGCCCTCCTGATGGTTTGGGGGACGCGGGGCGGGGGTGCATTCAACCAATTAGCTAGTGCGTCGCTGTCCGCCGGCAGTGACTGACGTGAAAGCATGGCTGTACGTGTTATTTTTCTTAAGACTGCTACACACGGTATTATTTTGCAACATGGATAATCTGCCGACTCTGCGTCACAAAAAGATTTAAAAACTTGAAGTTCGTCTTGCAGAGGTTCTACTGTTAAAGTTCTAATAAGGAATATTTATTATTTTACTTAATTTTTAAATTGTATCTGAATATAATTTACATGATGAAGATAAGGTGATTTTATTTAAATTATTTTACAGTATTAAATTTTACAATTAATCATAAAAACTTACAATACACTGACATTATAATACATGGATATAAATTCGATTTTTATTACATCGTGTGTAGATTAAATCTCAAACAAATAAATCTGAAGATATCGAGTTAGTACATCGTGTCATGTATAGCCGAGCGCATCACCCGCCCCGCGTCCCGCAAACCATCAGGAGGGCCAAGCTTACGGCGGTTTAACTATAATTGTTATTTGTGAAATACATTAAAGAAATAAAATGTAAGAGTATAATTTAAAATTTGATTTGCTAAGAGATGAAACGAGGCGTGGGGGGCGTGTACTCTCCCTGGGTGCTGTAATCATAGCTTCTGCTTAGGTCTCAACTATACTTCGAAGATACACGTTTACACTATTATTGAACACACTTTATATAGATTTTTAAATGATATAATACCATACATACCTTAGCATGTCCTCTCGGCACACCAGCAACGTATAATGTAGAGTGCGCCGCACAATACACAATGGCAGCCACTCCACCCGCAAAGCGGAATGTGTGGTGCAACTTGCAACCATCAGTCTGTGAGACTATGTACCCACGAAGCTTGCCGCTGTATGTTACAACTAGAACTTCCCAGTTCCTGGAGAAGCATTAAACTTTAATTAATGTTGTGTGATGCATGATCTGCCTCATATGAAAGTAATATGTTCCAGACAGCCTTTCGATATTATTGAAATTGTGAAAGTCTTATCTTGTAGATTATTATTATTATTAAATGTTTACTATTTTTATATGAAGTCGAAGAAGGTAGAATAACGCGAGACAAGAAGTCAATTTCATGATTGAAAAAGAGATAAGTGTGTTTAAACACATACAATCTAACAATAAACTTATAACGTTTGTACTATATGACATCACAACTACCGAGCTTAAATAAATTGGTTAAATCCCTTAAATATTTTATATTTTTGTATAACTTTTGTTCTCTAGTTTTAATAAAAAAATACTTTTATCACTGTTTTATCACCTAGCGGAACCTCGTAATTTGTTTGTACATTTCCTTTCATTGTAATTCATTGACTTAATAAAACAGGTAAAACCGAGCCCTGTAACTAACTTATTTTAGTATGAATTAGTATAGATATACGTTACCATTTAGTATCCTTCACTCGCAAGGGCATAAATATAATGTTAGCCACTGCATGAGTGTTGTCTGAGCATTCTAATCCTCCAGGCTTTGAGCAGTCCTGTAATTATTTACTACAGTTACGATGATTATTATTATGATCACATTTAAAAGATTATCTATTCGTGTGGAGACGGATTACGAATACGGAGTATCACCACCCCTATTTATCCTGTAGGTGTCGTAAGAGCCTACCAAGGGAAAAAACTACGCAGGAAAACAGCACTGCAAAAGAAGGAAAAGTTGAACTAACCCGTCTGACGAGCATGGTTTTTAGTTTTTTTTTTTTTAAGACAACGCCCGCATCAGGAATTAATCCTGTGTTGCGAGGGACTTTATAAACATACATGAAACGGAAACAAAGAATAACCAGACTCAGAACAACAATTTATAGAGCACACAAAGTCCATCCCATGTGGGGATTGGACCTACAACACTCAGCGTAGTAGTAAGCGGCGTGGCGACCGCTTAAACCACTTCGCCATCAGTGCAGTCAAACGAGAGGCCTATGTCCAGCAGTGGGCTATTAAAGGCTGTTGATATGATATGTTTTTTTTTTAGGTTTCTACATAAAAAGGGTAGGAGCGACGAACGAATTGGTTGCTCTACAAAACAAACAGGACAACTTTATTATGCTTGCATGCAAGTTGTCAATCGAGCATTTACAGTGACAATATATTACACTAACATACACAGCGTCAGCGAAAAACACATACTGTTTTGGACGCTTTCATAGCTTTGACAGTATGGTTGCATATGCGCAGATGATTGTATTTATAATATTTAATGCTTGTTAGTTACTTACTATTGGAATGTTGTACAAATTAGAAGCAGTTAGATCATAAAAGCTGACAACTCCGTTACCATATGCCAGCACTACAAAAGAACAGTCAGGGCTCCAAACCAGTTTGCGCCATTGAGAATATCCATCTCGACTCACTGTAATATTTAATAGGTCAAGTGAAAAGTAAAATAGACGACATTCAACATTTTAAAAAGAAAATAAAAATATATGACAATTTTTTTATTTAAATGATGTCATCGTTTTTAATATATATTGTATGTATGAATATGCATGTATTTTTACTCTACAGTAGCTTTAATACACCTAGACTACCCAATCTACCCATTGTTTCTTCTCATCTACTATTGATTTGTTAGGCCAAAGATTACGCGCAAGGAATTATTTTTAGCAATAAGGCCGCCCACTGTACATTGGTGTATAATAAAGCATATTCTATTCTATTCTATCTATCACAAGCAAGAGTTTTTTATAATATAGGGGCAAACAAGCAGACAGGTTAGCTGGTGGTAACAGATGCCGCATCAACGCAAATAGAATCATGCTCGATTTAAATTGTTTGAGCATCAGTATACGTTGTGTTGGATTTAAAACTAATTCCACATAGACAAGGGCCTCACAATAATCTTCCAACTGGGGCCTTGCACTAATCTACTAGCCTGGGCCTCGCAATGGCTAAGGCCGCCACTGAGTTTATGTTGCTTAAAGCTTGAAAGATCTTATTGAAAGTAACTTTATATTTAAACAATATCAAAAGAAACTTTATATACACCGAATTGAACTTACCAGTTGTCCTGGCAGCTATTGTAGCATACTCTGACCTTTTAGTTCTGATCTCCAAAATATTGTCAGTTAATACAGCAATGACTTTGCCCTCATCACCAAGAGCTATATGCCACTTTTGTTGCTTTTCAATGTGCCTAAATATAATAATAAGAATAATAATTACTTGATGTTGTATCATCACTATGTTAGTAAGTTGTTATGTCAAGTCACTAAGGCACGTAGCACTATGTACATACTGGGTTGGCATTGCTCTGCTGTCTGCGACACTCCAAAGTACCTAGTCAAATTCTGTCCATGTAATACTCTAATTATATGATAATATAATACCAGTCAAGGAGTGTTTTTTTTTATAACTACATCCCTGTAATCGAAGAATATAAGTCTTGACACATCTCACATATGGCATTCTGATACTAAATTACACAATTGTTTGTTTTTGATGGGTATCGAAACGACGACCTCGGCTGAGCAGTCAGAATCACTACCCACTAGACCAGTAAAACGAAATTTTTCTTTTATTTTTATATTAATTTTAAATAAGTCAATAAAAAGTTAAAGATACTCACGCAGTTACCCCATCAATTAGACTCTTCTTAGGTCCGAGAAAGTTTACCCAACGCCAGAAAACTGATATATTTTCAGGCAAAATACTATCTGGTTTTTGCTACAAATATATATATATTATTAATGAGCATAGATTTAGTAAGGACGCCTTATTTCAATTCAAATATTTTACATATTTTATATAATTAATTGATTATAATTTATTAAATATAAATTATGTTTTTTATTTACACAGAAATTCCACTTACTATGTATTCAGGTTCTGGTTTCCATTCGGAATAAACATATAATTCATGTAAAATAGACTTCCTTTCATCCATATTTGAGAAACTACTTCTTCTTGACTGCTTTTATACCAAAGGTAACTAATATGTACTTGTTTTTTAAGAGTAACAAGGTTTCTTATTAGAATGAAAACCGAACCGATCAATAATAATCAACAGTATGTTTTTGACAGTTCCCTGACAACATGACAACAATGCGGTATCGGTTTTGCTAAATCTAAAGCCGCGTCCGCACAGCGATATACTATTTTATTCAATATTATTCATGCACCAGTGCGCATATTCCTATTTAGATTCCATGTGTCACAGAGTCAAAAAAAACAGGTCGTAAAATATCGCTGTGTGGACGGGGCCTAAATAGTAATGACAAAACATAAAAATCTCTAAGTTTTGGCTCGGCGAGCAGCCTCATGTTAGGCCCCGTCCGTACAGCGATATTTAATGAACGCGAGAATATTACGAAAAAATAAACGAGCGGTGAAATATCGCTATACGGACGGTATCTTACATGGAGGGGGGGCATGCCGGCCACCGACACTACACGAAGAGAGCAAAGGCCGCTACCCGCCTTGCTTATATACTTCGGTGAGCACTTCCGCCTCCAATTCCAACGTAGGTGATCCGACCACACACGGCGCCTCAGTAAGGCTCTAACAGCCAATACCATCTGAATGCATCAGGGGCTCCCTACTCTGGGCGGTCAGAGCCATCGTCCACACCGGTGCGCTGTACAGTGACATTGACCGGACAAACCCGTGTACAGCCGTGTTTTCCGAACGCTGATTCAACTCAAATTAGGCAACTTTCGGTACTAACTTAGTAACTTTGGAACTTGTAATGCTCATCGAAGAGCCAACTCCCGTTAAGATTAGGCCTAGATACTCTGGGACCGAACCGGTACAAGGACCGAGTTCATCACTATTGAGGCGCCAAAGGACTGATTACAATGGGTTGATAAAATAAGAGGGCCTCCGTTTTATACTGGGTCCCCACCCGTAAGTCCAGCGCCTCAATGGGCCCTGGTCCTGACATTGCAGTCTCCTCAAAGGCTAATTAATTAGCGCAGGCTATTTCTTTCTTAAGTAAAAATGTGATGTGGCTAGTGTGTTTTTTTTTTTTTTTTTTTTTTTTTCAATTTTTTATGTTTCACTTCATTTTCTCTTATATTTTTTTTTCATAATCTTATTTTGTTTTCATTGTCTTTTTACCTTTTAGTCCTTAATACTAGCACACATCAAAACAATGTTGTGGTATATTTAATAGTGCCATTGTATCTATTTGTGAATTGCAAAAAAGTGGCCATGAGTTTGTTTGCCCTTACTCTCATAAGGCTCAACCCCTTGGAAACGGGCGGTTGTAGATAGGCACAGGCACATCATAGATTTTGTATGATTTTTGATTTTTGTTAAATTTATTTGCTTCCTATTTGACAAAACAGAGATTGTTGCTTTTGTGTGTGTTGATCTTTGACTTTAGAGTTTACATAAAAGACGATTTCAAACAATTAAAAAAAAAAATGAAATAAAGAGAGTTTTAGTTGAGTTGAGTGAGTTGAGGCTCCAATGAGCACATCTCTAACTGCCTCAGCCAGCATCGGAATTCTAGGCATCGACATTTTGAGCGAAGTCCAGTTTCGAGGTCACTTAGAGGGTAAGGTCAAATTGACCTCGATGAAGCTCGGTGTGCTGAGCAGATCGAGGCAGTATTTCACTACGGTCCACCGCCTTCAGCTCTATAAGGCGCAAGTCTCTCTGGATCGCATCCAACGAAGAGCGACTTGAATCATCGATAGCCCAAACATCTCCGATCGGCTCGATCAATTGGCGATACGTAGAGATGTGACTTCAGTCTGCATTCTCTATCGCATATATCATAGAGAGTGCTCCAAAGAATTGTTCTGACTAATACCAGCCGCAACTTTCCGCCATCGTTTCACACGGCAATATTTCCATCCAAATCACCTGGATAGTTGGCGTTCCACTACTGTGCGGTTTTCAAGACATTTTTTGCCCCGCATTTGGTTGTCGTCTGCGGTATTTCCGGCATGATACGAAATTTAAACCTTCAAGAAAAGAGCGTACTCCTTCCAAAAAGGCCGGCAACGCGTTTGTGACTCCTGAATTGCAGACGTTCATGGGCGGCGATGGTCACTTTCCATCAGGTGACCCGTCTGCTCGTCTGCCCCCTCTGACATAAAAAAAGAAAAAAAAAAGTTATACCAACCAACAACAGACCCCTGTGATACACGACATGACATGGGCCATCAACTCAGATATCCACCTTGGTCCTCTCCTACGTACGTACTTGGTACTCTTCTCTACATAGTCCGCCACTACCAGCCTCAGGTAGTCTGGCACCCCGTGATAGTGGAGTGGAGAGATCAGATCCTGATGGAACTGAATGGCAGCAAAAGCCTGCTTTGGCGTTGTCACGTTCAAAAACCGTATTAGGCATCTGACAGACGAAACCCACCTCGCAGAATCGCCGGACGATGCGGGCAGAGAGAACCCTCTTGAACAATTTACCCGCCTCTTCTAGCAACTCATTGGGCCTGAAACATCATCTAAGTTCTCCCCATCGTTTTCGGCCAAGGAAGCTAACCATAGTCATATGTATTCCATCCGTTGTTGTAAAAGACCCTCAACCACTTCCTGTACGAAGCTGGGTTGGAGAGTCTTCGAAAGCTAGGGCCGAGATCAGCGGTCTGGGTCTAAGGGTTGCACCATATACGACGGAAGCGGTGGTTCCGCAGGAAACGCAACCCAGCGTGCTTTCGGTGCCATTCTGCCTAACCTCGAACCTAGGGTAGGTAGGGTCATCTACCGGCTGACGCAGTCACTCACTGGGCATGGTTGCTTCGGTGAGTCCTCGTGTCCGATACGATTCAGGTAATCGTATCGAACACGAGAAGACGGCACAATGCCAGTACTGTGCAGCCAACTGGAGGCCCAGTACAAGCTGGAATATTGCTCCGCGTGGGCGTCTGAACGCGAAGTCCTGGTCGACCAAATCGGACAAGATTTGTCTCCATAGACAATTATTGCTCACATGCTTGTGGGTGAGGAGGGCTGGGGAGCGGTAGTGTCTTCCTGTGAAGCTGTAATGCTCCAGAAAGAGACTGCTAAACGGGATTGGTGGAGGGCTGATCCCAAACGTAGAGGACTGGGAGCCTGGCGGGCTGCGGGCCGCCAGAAAGTTTGGACCTCTGGTGGCAGATTAACGCAATCGGGCAGCCACGCCATGATTGAAAGAGAGAGTCATTTCTGCTGGGATAGGGCCACATTAGGCGGCACATCATCCACGTTCGTTGCGGGAATAGGCCCTCCACCACTTCCTGCAGGAAGCTGGGCTGGACAGTTACTGTAAGGGGGGGGGGGAGGCTTTTGTCGCACCGCGCGGTATAGGCGACCCCAGGGGTCACGATCGAGACCCTCCAGCATCTCCTTTATTTTCACTTCTTTGGCACGGGTAATGCCCAGCTTCAGAGATTCCGCGCGGAGGTCCGCCAACTTCTGGGACCACCAGTAGACTTCCTTTCTTCTCGAATCCAGTCATGGCCGCATCGTAGATCTGCCACACTGACACACCACCCTGCCGCAAACCTCGGTGGGGTGACGGCCCCAGGAGGTTTCCACACGTATTTTTTTTTTTTTTTTTTTTTATTCTATATATATCTGCAATCGGCTTTCAGCCATAATCAGATGTTTTCTGGGATTAATTTGGGTCGGGTGCGATTCCATTAAACAGCACCGTATGAGTTGACAGATACTAAGTAGTTAGTTTCTCTGGTCTATGTTTAGTATTTGACATCTTTTCAGGCGAGTCACATCTTCATGTCGGTTTAATAGGTTCTTAGCCAGTTCATTTGTGTGCTTATTGAGCCTCTCCTTGTATCTCCTGCTTATTTTACAAGCTTCCTCCCTTACGGTTGGCATCTCCAGGTATTCATGTATTTCTGTGTTTCTCACGAACCAGTGTGCACTTGAAATTGTTCTTAGAGCAGTGTTTTGAAATCTCTGGAGAATCTCGATATTGGAATTGCTAGCACAACCCCAGAGTTCTATCCCGTAGGTCCAGATTGGCTTTATTATAGTCTTGTATACGAGTAGTTTGTTTCCGATTGACAGCCGGGATTGACGTCCCAGTAACCAAGACAGACCTTTGAATTGTAAGGTGGCTTCTGTTTTCTTGGCTTTTATGTGATTAGCCCAGGTAAGTCTTCTATCCAGGTGTAGACCGAGATATTTCACGCTGTTACTGTTTGGTAATGGCTTGTCTTCCATAAGAACAGGTGGACAGTCGCCTTTTCGGAGTGTGAATGTTATTTGTGTCGATTTGGTTACGCTAGGTTTGATTCTCCACTTCTTAAGCCATAAATCAACTTTATTGAGCTGTTCCTGTAGCAGCAGGGATGCGTTGTTCGGGTTTGTATCGCTTGCAAGGCATGCGGTGTCGTCTGCGTAAGTTGCTGTTACAACTTTTTCTGTCTCAGGCAAGTCAGCCGTGTATATTGAGTAAAGGACTGGGCCAAGCACCGATCCTTGTGGAACTGAGGCAGTGATGTAATACAGCTGTGATAGCTCTTCTTCGTATTTTACTTGGAATCTTCTTTGATCCAAGTAAGATTTTAGGATCATGTAGAAAGAGTTTGGTAGGAGGGTTTTTAGCTTGTACAGCAGTCCTTTGTGCCAGACTCTATCGAATGCCTGTTGGATGTCAATGAATACTGCACAGCAATACTCCTTTTTCTCTAGCGATTGTCTAATTTTGTGAACCACACGATGTACTTGCTCGACAGTAGAGTGTTTTTCCCGAAATCCAAACTGGTGATCAGGTATAATCTTGTTTTCGTCCAGAACTGGTTTTAGTCTTAGCAATAGAATCTTCTCGAATACCTTTGACAGAATAGGGAGAAGACTTATGGGCCTGTATGAGCTAGGTTCTGTTGGTGGTTTCCCTGGTTTTGCAATCATACAGATTTGGGATATTTTCCATAGCTTTGGATAGTAATTAATTCTAAAAATGGCATTAAATAG